GCTGGATTGGAAGCGGGGCTGCTGGGATGTGAATTGTCACCGGTATGTGATCCTGGCACATGCAAGACAAGGACTTTACCTGTTAGACTGCCACACCGGGCCCCAAAAAGGACAACCTTTTAAAACTGATGCAGTAAGTCATTACACAAAACTCGTTTCACTGATATTTATGTGTTTGTGTGAGTCTTTAAACCTCTACTTTCTTCTTTATTCAAATTCAGAATGAACTTTTTTATATTGCTTATTATTTTCATTGAGTTGAAGGGCAGAGAGAGACAGAAAGATATCTCCTGCTTGCTGATTAATTCCCCAGAGTGGGTGTAGCCAAAGCCAGGAACCTGGAAGTCCCTCTGAATTTCCCACAGGGGTTGCAGGTGTCCAAGCACCTGAACCATCATCCATTGCCTCCCAGGATGCCTTGGTAAGAAGCTGAATCAAAAGAGGAGTAGCGGGGACTCCAGTGGGACTCTCGAGATGGGATGCAGGCATCTCAATGGTGGCTTCACTTGCTGCACCAAAACAAACCTTTGCTTGATAGTGACTTAAGGGCAATATCCTAAAACATGGTATGATTTGCCAGTGTATATAAGAATTGCCATTTCAACTAACCTGTATTAGATTCTTTAAGATGTAAATCAATTCGACACAAAATGAAAACACATTTTTAATATTAAGTTGGTGTGAAAAGGAAAAAAAAAAACAGTAGACAAGTTGAATGAGGCAGTTTTTTTAAGAAGGAAGAAGCACCAGCTCTAAGACCTCAGCACACTCTTTGTGGAAAGCAAAGAGAAGGGAGGAACAAAAACAGCTTCACCTGCTTGTTACAAAGTTGCCTGTCTTCCTGGAAACTTTTAGCTGTCTGCCAGGAAGAGAATCTGGGCTGATGTCATTGGCTGAGGCTCACCTGCTTGTTACAAAGTTTCCCAGCACAGGAATATTGCAGTCCACTCTCCCCCAGGCCACATTCCCTTTGTCTAACAACAGGGATGAAGACCCTTTGTCTGATGATTCACTCCTCAAGCGACCATAACAGCCAGAGCTGAGCAGATCCTAAACCAGGAGCCAGGAACTCTTGCATGTCTCCTACGTGGGTGCAGGGTCCCAAGGACTTGGGCCATCCTCCACTGCCCTCTGCGGCCACAAGCTGGGAGCTGGATGTGAGGCAGGGCCGCTGGGATTAGAACCAGCAACCATATGGGATCTCGATACTTGCAGGATGAAGACTTTAATCACTATGCTATCACACCGGGCCCAAGAGAAATACATCTTTTTAAAAGCCGCTTTATTTTTATTTGAAAGAGTTTTCTAGAGGAGAGAGAGAAAAAGTCCACTGGTGCACTCCCCAAATAGTAACAGCCTGAGCTGAGCCCATGTATTACTTCCCTATTTCAGTGTATTATGAGAGTTGATGGAATGGAACTTATTTGCATCTTTAAGTTGCTGCACGTGGATAATGTAGTGCAGTTCTCATGGTCATTTTCAACTCTCTGAGAAAGGATTCGAACCCAGAGGAGGATAACGCAGCCGTAGATCTGCATCACGGGCATTCTCCCATTTCTTTGCAAGAGCCCCTCCCCTGAATTCAGGAGCATTTCCCTCTTACAGAGCCTAGAATGCTGAGCTCTAGAAAGATCAAATTGTTTCATCATCTAATAGATGGCAGACAGAAGCATACAGTTGTAAAGAGCTTACACGCCATGCCATCTCTCACTTGCTCCCCAGTGAGTTCAATTCCAGGAGTTATGCATATGCAGGTCTTTTAAAAGTTTAGTTTATTGGAAAATCAGATTTCTAGAGAGAAGAGACAAAGCTCCTCCATCCACTGCTTACTCCCCAAATGACTGCAATGGCTAGAACTGAGCCAATCTAGAGCCAGGAGCCTCCTGCAGGTCTCCCACATGGGTACAGGGGCCCCAGGCTATGGACCATGCTCTATTGCATTCCCAAGCCATTAGCCTGAAGCTAAATGGCAAGTGAATCAGCTGGAACATGAACAAGCACCCACTTGGATGCTACAGTTGGAGATGAAGGATTAGCCAGTTGAGCCATTGTGCCAGAGCCACATCTGCCGATTTCCAGAAATGACTACTTCTGGAAAGGCTGAGTGAGACAGAGCTCAAAGCTGCTGTTTTGTGGCTTTACCAGGCAGAGTGACAGAAGGAGGGAGACACAGATTACCATCTGCTGCTTCCTTTCCCATCTGGCTGCAGCAGCTGTGCCAGGCAAGCCGGCTGAAGCCACAAGCTCTTCTGGGTCTTCCATGTAACTAGTTGTTTGTTATATAAAAGCCACATTAACTTGTGGAGATTGTGTTAGTTTTGTTTGCACCCACTGTATTAGATTTCCTTACTGTTTTGAGTCATTTCTCATTTGCTTTCCTATTTTCAGGTTAAAGATAAGTATAAATACTAGTAACCATAAATAATGATCAACAATGTATGCCTAATCATGATTTTCTTTTTTTTTTAAATATTTATTTATTTATTGGAAAGTCAGATATACAAAGAGGAGGAGAGATAGAGGGGAAGATCTGCCATCCGATGATTCACTCCCCAAGTGAGCGCAACAGCCGATGCTATGCTGATCCGAAGCCAGGAGCCTGGAACTTCCTCCAGGTCTCCCACATGATGCAGGGTCCCAAAGCCTTGGGCTGTCCTCAACTGCTTTCCCAGGCCACAAGCAGGGAGCTGGATGGGAAGGGAGCTGCCAGGGTTAGAACCAGTGCACATATGGGATCCTGGCGTGTTCAAGGTGAGGACTTTAGCAGCAAGGCCACGCCACCGTGCCCATAATCATGATTTTCATGCCTCTTAGTATGTTCTCTTTTTTATTTCACTGGCTGATACAAGTTAAAAAAAAAAAGTAGTGACTGAATAGCAGGATCCTCATTGCAGTCTTGGCTTTCATGGAATGCCAGCAGAGGCTCTTGCTTTCAGCTGGGATTCCAATGGCTTATGTTCAGAAATATTTAATCATCCTCATCAAAAAAAGGTAAATAAAATATAAGATTTTGGTGAGGGAGGGGGAGAAAACCACGGGTGGTAGACATCTAACTTGATTTCATTCTACTTAAATAGGCAGTTTTCTGAGCACCACTTATTGAACAGTCTGTTCTTATTTTTTAAAAGATCTATTTTTGAAGTCAAAGAGAGGAAGAGAAAAGAGAGGATTCCTTCATTCATTGGTTTGCCCCCTGGATGGCTGCAATGGCCAGCTCTGGGCCAACCCAGGGTCAACCCATAGCCAGGAGCTTCATCCAGGTCCCCCATCTACATGGCAGGGACCCAAACACTTGGGCCACCTTCCACCCCTTTTTCCAGGCCATTAGCAGAAAGCTGGATTGGAAATAGAGCAGCCAGGACACTAACCAGTGCCGACTTGAGATACCAGTGTTATAGGTGGCAACTTTATCTGCTTTACCACACATTGTCCCATTGTCCTCATTTTTAAAAAAGATTTATTTACACAGGCTGGCACTGCGTCTGCACAGGCTAATCCTCCACTTTGTGGTGCAGCATCACATATGGGCCCCAGTTGATGTTCCGGCTGCTCCACTTCCAATCTGGCTCTCTGCTTGTGAGGGAAAAGCAGTGGAGGATGGCCCAAGTTTTTGGGACCCTGCACCTGCGAGAGAGACCAGAAGAAGCTACTGGTTCCTGGCTTCAGATCAGCTCAGCTCTGGTCTTTGCAGCCACGTGGGTAGTGAACCAGCAGATGGAAGACCTTCCTCTTGCCTCTTTTTCTCTATAAATCTGCCTTTTCAATGAAAATAAATAAATCTTAAGAAAGGAAGGGAGGAGTCATGGCATGCTGGCCTAGCATCTAAAGTCCTCGCCTTGAATGCATAAGGATCCCATATGGCACTGGTTCCCTGGATCCCATATGGCACTGGCAACCCTGCTTTCCATCCAGCTTAGTGCTTGTGGCCAGGGAAAGCAGGCAAAGACAACCCAAAGCCTTGGGATCCTGCACCCTCACGGGAGACCTGGAAGAAGCTCCTCACCCCTGCCTTCATTCCGGCATAGTTTCATGAATTGTGGCGACTTAGGGACTGAATCATGTAATGGAAGGTCTTCTTCTCTGCCTCTCCTCCTCTCTGTATCTCTTACCTTGCAATAAAAATAAATAAATCTTTCTAAAAGAATAGAAAGGAAGAAAAGACAAAAGGAAGACTCTAACATCCTTCTGTCTGGGCTCAGTACAAAGGGTTCCCCTTTCATGAAAGAGTTACACACAGAGAGAGAAAATCCCCTTCTCATCACTGGTTCACTCACCATGTGGTCATCATGGCCAGAGCTGAGCTACTCTGAAGCTGGAGCCAGGAGCACCCTCCAGTTCTCTCATGTGGGTGCAGGGTACTTGGGCCATCCTCACTGATTTCTCAGGCCATTAGCAGGAAGTTCAATGAGAAGTGGAGCATCTGGGGGCTCAGTGTGATGGCTCAACTGGCTAAATCCTCACCTTGCAAGTGCCAGGATCCCATATGGGTGTCAGTTCATGTGTTGGCTGCTGTGCCTCCTATAAGCAGAGAGCTGGATTGGAAGTGGAGCAAGCAGGACATGAACTGGTGCCTGTATGGGATGACAGTACTCTAGCTGGAGGCTTAGTCTACTACACAGTGGCACTGGCCCCATCCATTTTGTTTTAGGAAATGTTCTTATTTTTTTTAAGATTTGTTATTATTTTTTTTTATTGCAAAGGCAGATTTACAGAGAGAAGAAACAGAGACAGAGAGAAAAATCTTTCATTACTGGTTTATTCAACAAGTGCTGCAATATCCAGAGCTGAGCCAATGCAAAGCCAGAAGGCAGGAGCTTCTTCCAGGTCTCCCACGTGGTGCAGGGTCACAATGCTTGGGGCTGTCCTCTCCTGACTTCCCAGGCCACAGGCAGAGAGGAATGGAGGAGCTGCCACTTATTCCTGGTTCCCAGGACTGGCCTGTGCTAGGGGATGCAGGCCCAGAGACTCTTTCTAAGGAAGCTGTGTTGGCATCAGCCTTCCTTTCACTTACAGCTCACTGCTTCCAAGGGGGAGCAGCAGGGCTGTGTCTTTAATGAGGAACTGCAAAGGGAAGGAGGGAGGGACAGAGGCCTCGGCCAGAATCACTCAGCCAAGGGGCTCAGCCCAGAGCAACAGATGGCTCATGCTCACTGGAGGCACTCAACTGTCTCTCTACTTTCTTCTGGTCCTTCATCTTGAGTCCAATGTCCACCCTTTTCTCAAAGAAGTTGACCAGCACAGACTCCGGCAGGATGGAGGCCAGGATCTGCTTGAAGGAGATGCACCAGTCTGCGTCCATGGTGTTCCCAATGCGGGCAGTGTCTGTGGGGTTCTCACACTGCAGGGAGCCCATGCTGACCACTGAGTAGGAGGACATGGATATGTTGTATTTGGTTTCATCATCAGACAGGAGCTGGGAGGGTGAGCCCTGCCCCTCTCCACTGCCCCCCTCTACCACCGTCTGTCTCTCCTGTGGCACTTTTCCAAGGTGGGTGTCTCCACCAGCTTTGGTCCAGGGGTCCCCCGTGGCTGTCAGCTGGCATTCCTGTACTGGGGCCTGATGGGATTCCCTTGCAGGTGACTGAGGAGCCCCCGTGGCTGGCACTCCTGTACTGGGTTCTGAGGGGGTTCCCTTGCTGGTGACTGGGGATGCCCCATGGCTGGTGCCTGGCACTCCTGTACTGGGCCTAAGGGGGTTCCCTTGCTGGCAGTGGGGACTCATCCTCAGTGGAACTGCCCTGGTCCTTGCTGAGAGTGCCACCCGTGGGCTTCTTGACACTGGGACTGAAGAACTTCCCCACCTCACTGATGCGGAGGAGGCTGGCCACTGTGGCAATGGCGTGGTACAAGTCCTGCTCCAGGGGGTCCTCACTGAATTTGTTGTATAGCGTCTTGCACAGCTCAATGAATTGCTCCTATCAAGGGGGAAGGCAGAACAAGGAGATGGTAAGATGGCCCTGGTGTTCACTCCACGCATGCTGCTGGCCACTGGAACTGGTGCCAGGATGTGGTCCTGTTTATCGGCACCAGACCAGTGCTCTAGTCTTACTTCACACACGGGAATGTGGAGGCTCAGTGTCGGGAGGGATCCAAGCAGTCACTCTGCCATCCTGGGCTCTCCCCCTGCAGCAGACAGCAGCTCTGAGCTGGGCTCTCTGCTCCGACATGTGGTTCTGCTGTTGGAGATGCATGGCTGTGTGAACCCGGCCTCGACCATGGCTTCCTCCCTGGGGTCTGGCCTCACCCTTGGCCTTCTAGCTCCGGGGTGAAAGCGACTTCAACTCTGACCTTCAGGGAAGCTCCCAGAGGGTGCTGCTGAGGGGGTGAGGGTGGTCTTGGGTCTCTAAACCACATCCTGGCCTGAGAGAGGGGGGAGACCACCCATTCCTCAGGCTGGAGAAGGCTTAGGCTCACAGGGCCCCTCTGGGCATAGCCAGGGCCGGGCCAGCCCAAGCACTAAGGGCAGGCTGTAGTTCAGGGACTGCCTCTGGCTACTTTCTGCAGCTGAACCCAGGGGTTGCCCCTTCCTGCCTGGGAGACCCTTGGGAAGACAAAGAAGCTCCTGCCCCCAGAGAGCAGGAAGTGGAGAGCAGACAAGCCTGTGTGCACAGGGTGCCTGGGCAGGGAGTGTGAGGAAGCAGCTGTGGGGTAACCTTCCCCAGGGCTGCTCAGACCTACCACTGTCCCTCCACCTGAACAAGTGGTCCCTGTGCAAATGGCCCCTGAGCAACAAGCTCCTGACTTTCCAGAATCCTCACTGGGACTCCTGGGCGCTCAAGTGAGCTAGTGAGTAACGAGTGCCACCCTGTGTGGACCCTGGGGCGTGGTGCTGACATGGCATGCTGGGCCCCGGTGTCCCTCAGGGTTCTGTAGAGGTGTCTGCTGCAGCCTCCTGCCTGGCCTACCTGGTTCATTTTGGGCAGATCCTGGATGGTCTCCTTCTGAGCCTCTCCCTCCTTGGCCCACATGCGAAGGTAGAGTCGGTAGTCTGGGGGGCTGGTCCCCTTCTCTGTGAGTCAGGAGGAAAAGACATTAATCTCGGCCTGTCATGACAGAAAGAGGGCTTGAGCTTGGGGTCAGGGGGTGGGATGGGCCCTGTTACAAAGCACCTGCATCTGGGGAGGTGCTGATGGGGAGAATGCCCTGAAGAAGGGATGGCTCAATGGGATGAGGATGGTCCTGAGGCTGTGTTCTAGGCTGTGAGAGGTTGGCCTGAGGAGGTGACAACTTCACAGGGGACACCAGGCATCACAGGGGACAGCAGGGCCTCCAGCCAAGGTCACTGACCTTCAGGGCATGCCTGTCAACTGGGGGCCAGGCAGTGGGGGAGCTTTGCAGAAGTGACTGGGGATGGACACAGCCCATATGAAACCCCAGACCTCAGCCCTGAGACCCTGACTGGCCGTCAGGGGAGAATGGCCTATACCTGCTCGCTTTTCTTGGGTATCCTCGCTTCTGCTTCCTTCCCGATCTTCCTGTGGTAGTGCCTCTGCCAACCAGGAAATAACAACATGGAGCACATTCTTCTCCAGCTGGGACTGCAGCCCACCTCTGCCGAGGTCCAGCCTGTGCTTGTGCGGGAGCAGCCCCGGGTTCTGGTTCCCTGCACGGAGCCTCCTGCTTTGGCCTGACCTTGGGCTCTGCCCTCCGGCACCACCGTCAAGGAGGGCCTGGGCATTTTCCCACTTGATCACTGAAAGCAGCAGCAGCTGTATCCCACTCCATTTTTTTTTTTCTTTTTCCAGAAGACTACAAGTCTCCCCTATATGCAAACAGCAATGCGGTGTGATGGACAAGCCTGAGAACGGATGAATCCTGTGGTTTTGTTAGGAAAAGGTCACGTGTGTGGGATCACACCTATGACAGTTACACGGGAGGGAAGAAACTTGACAGACATGAACCCTGTGCTCAGCACATCCGCTGGAGGAGGACCACACTGTGCGGTTCACGTGTGAACATGAACCTGGGGAGGAACAAGCTGCCCTGGTCTCCCAGGCCTGCTGCCAGAAGACAGGCGAGGACAGAAGTAGCCCAGCCCTCAACTGCCTCAGTGAGCGTGGGTGACAGTGCAGGGGCTGGGGTGCTGTGGGGTCTGAGGTCAGGGTTCTGCACCCAGAAGCACACAGCACAGGAGCCTCTTCCATGTCTCCCATGTGGCTGCAGGGTCCCAAGGCCTTGGGCCATCCTTGACTGTTTTTCCCAAGCCAGAAGCAGGGAGCTGGAAGGGAAGTGGAACAGTCAGGATATAAACCAGCACCCACATAGGATCCCAGTGCATACAATTTAGCCACTGGACTATAAATCTTAATTTTTTTTTCCTTTTTGCCTAACAGTCAACGCCAACCTAACTTGAATCCAGTGCCTAACTTGAGTTAGTCTGATCATTTGGAAGAAAGTTTCCCTTGTCCTGGGGCTACTGAGGGGATAGCACGTCCCTGGAGCTGCAGACAGCCATGGACTCTGCAGGAAGCGCAGTTCAGAGAACATCAGATGGTGAGAGAGTGTACAACACTGCATCTGAGTCCCTGGATCCAGCCAGGCCTGACACTGTCTCCCTCAACTCTGCAGTTCCTTGAGCCCATGAACTTCTGCTGTAAGCTGCCTTGTGCTTTCTAAGGGAGTGTTCTGCCTAAACTCCAACAAGGCTTAACTTCTACCACTGCGACTTCACAGCAAGTGCATGCACGGATGCTTCCAAACCCCTTCTCTTCCGGCAGGAACCTCTGTGCTGAGGATGCTCTTGGAAGACAAGGTCACAGTTACAGGTCCCGTCCCTGTTCTCGGCTCTCACCTTAAACACCATGTAAAGGTCTTCCAGCTCTTCAGTGGAGAAGCCAGTGTCCCCAGGTATGGCTCAGACCTAGAAGAAAGAGACAGGCTGGGCTGAGGGACTCTCAAGTGCCTGTTGCAGCAGGAGACAGATTGTCACAGGGACCAGGGCAAAGGCACGAGCTGCCCCTCAGTGTGGCAAGTCGGCCATCCCACTGAGGGCAGGGCCTTGCCCTGCTGGCCTCTCACCACCCAGCCTGCCACTCAGTGCAAGCTCCCTGAGGTCTGTGCCCTAGTGGGCTGAGAGTGGGGGACATGGGACATTGTTTAGTTCCTCTTGTCTGGACCTCTGCTGTGACCCTGGTGCCAGCTCTTGGGAAGGGGTCCTGAAACCACCAGCCAGCTGCTCTCAGTCAGCTGGAGCCATCCGTTTCTGTCACTTGTGACCTCAGAGTGAATGAAAGGTTTATGGGGGGCACTGGGGAAGTGGGAACGAGGTTGGCAGTCAAGAGACCACGAGTAGATCCTGTGGCAGGGGCACCTGCACCCATCCAGGGATGCAGAGGATGAAGGCTGGAGGCAGAGGCACGGCACGCAGGTGCTCAGAGGGCAGCTGTGGGATGCTCGGGGCGAGGGTAGGAGACATGTGGCAGAGCTTGGGAGACAGAGGGTGCTAGACCTTGGGGGAACGGGGCTTCAGACAGGCTTCCCACTGGCCCATCTGGGAGCAGAATAAAACGACCATGTCCTCTCCCCGCCATGCCCCTGCCTGGTCCCACACATCCTAATGCTGACACTGGTGGTGAGGCAGCAGGGGAGTGTGCGTCCTGCCTCACAGACAGGCCTGAGTGGGAGCTCCCCACGCCCACATACCACGCTCCTCTTGGCTGTGTCCTCCAAGCACTGGATCACTTTCAGCCTGTTTAAACCGCATCTGTTCAATGTCGCTGGCCCGCAGGATGCTGAATTTCTGCAGGCAGGTGGGGATGATTAGGTGAGACAATGCACAGCCACGGGGTGCAGGGCTGTCACCCCCCGCACCTCCCCACTGAGTGCTGACCTCATAGGAGGCTTTGAGGAGGTCAAAGATGTCTGTCTGTGTGGGAGGCTCGTCTCCACTGGTCAGCAAGGCATGGAGGTGTGGCACTGGTGGGGAAGTACTCTGCTCATTGACCACATTGTCCAGACATCTGTGTGGGGAAGGGGTCAGACATGGAGACCACTCATAGTTATGGCAGACCCTCCAGGAGGATAGAGCGTGCCCCAGCAGGTACCCTGGCAAGTCAAGGATCTCCCCTCAGGCCTCAGGCCCTCCCTCGCATTAGGCTCTGCACATGGAAGGTGCCAGGCTATCTTTTGGGGCTCCATGGGCAGGGGGCCCCTTTATGTATCCAATTGGAGGGATGGTGTGCTTGTCCTGGCCACAAAGAATGAGACCAAAGGATGGAGTCTCAGGAGAGCCAGGAGGGGTCTGCTGTGGCCGTGTGTGCAGCGGCCCAGGTAACGTGGCTTGTTTAAGGCCACACGTTGGGACCTAGCCTGGCCAGGTCCCCCTGTCCCCTGCTGTGGCTCCTGAGCAAGGCCACACTGTCTTGGGTAGGAAATGCATGGCAGGCAAGCTGTCCGGACCTCAGGGTGGACACATAGCTACCCAGCCCAGCTCTCTGGAGGCACCGTGGCTGTCCCTGCTGTGTGGGAGCATCCCAGGACAGGGACATGCATGTGGGGAGGCTGTCAGGACTGGGCAGAACTCAGGACAGGTCAGAAAGAGCCAGGAGGGGGCTGAGCATGGCTGACAGGCTTGATGGCCAGGAAGGCAGATGACCACTGCTCCTCTGAATGAAAGATAAACAAGTGGCATGGGTGTACAGGCTCAGCCCTGGTCAGGGTCCTGCAGGATGCTGTCAGGAGACTGGAGCAGAGGAAACCATGTCCATAAAGTTTATTGGAACATGACTGTGCTCATTTGCTTCCTTGTTCCTGGCCTTTAAGGAGCAGTGAGCCTGTAGGGTCTGCCAGGTCAGCCTGGGATGCTCTCTGCATCTTCAGGGGCAGCTTTCTGAGGATCCCTGCAGGTTAGGGGTGTCTGGAGCTGTTGGCACTGGGTACTTGCTGGGTAAACGCCAAGGTGCTGCTGGGTCTTGAGTCATCCCCACCCATGGGCCTGCTCACGCTCATGTCTCCTGTTACTGTTTTTGGCAGTGGCTGAGCCCCGGCTGATCGAGTCCTTGTCTCAGATGCTGTCCATGGGCTTCTCTGATGAAGGTGGTTGGCTCACCAGGCTCCTGCAGACCAAGAACTACGACATCGGGGCTACCCTGGACACCATCCAGTATTCGAAGCACCCGCCACCACTGTGACAATGTCTGCTGCCCGGCTCGCTTCAAATCTCCTTCTCTGTCACATAATCACATTGAGCTAGTCAGAATAGCAGGAGCTCCATAAGGGCTAGATTTTCTGCATTCTTCTCCAGAATCTGGGGGGTGGGCACGCATGAGGCCTCTTAGGGCAGCAGCACAGTGTCACTGGTGAGTTCCATGTGTATATGCTTGATGCCAAACAGCCATCTACTCTGAGAGCTGTTGTGGCCCAGGAAGGACTTGCTGTTGCCCAGCAGGGTACAGGTGATACCCAGCGGCGCACTGGGCTCCCCTGCCAGCCTCACGCCAGCAGTCCAGAATACACCCTGCCTAATGGCCTCTGCTTTCTCATTTCTAAACAGCTAGTTGATTTACTGCTAGAAACCTGCTAGATTGAGGGAGGGCTGTCCTACAGCGAGCCAGAAGTCTCACACTTGGAGGGAGAGCGGCTCCCAAGGGCAAGTGCGAGGTGCAAGTGTCCTCTGGCGGCTGCCTCCAGCTCATCACTACAATGCCTCTCATGTGTAGCGCCCCTGCTGTTATATTTGTAAGCAGTGTGTGATTAAATGCAATGAGCATTTAGTCATCACTGTCCTGTGTTTATTGTCAGCTTTCAGGGTTTTTCACACATTAACACCAGGGGGAGCTGCAGAGGCACTCCTGCAGCACCCTCATCTCCATCAGTGACAAGCTGGCCTCTGCTCACAGGTCATCACTGAAGTCCTCTCCTGTTGTAAAGAGGTCAGAGAGCCGCAGGGCTGCAGGCTTCTGTGTCCCTGGCACCTGGGGAGGCCCCATGCCCCTCTGCTGCTCAGGGATCCTCCTGCAGGGTCCGTTAGAACCAGGCCTGGGAGGCTGTATGACCTGAGGAAGCTGGACATTGGCTGCTTCCCAGCTCTCCTTCGGGGTTGGGGCCCATGGGGTCCCTTGCTCAGCCTGTGCTGGACCTGCTGGTCTGGGTCCCCTCTGCTCTGTGTCCACCTGGGAGCTGTTCACGGGAGATGGGAGAAATCTTACCCATTTAGAAGATGTGGCCTCAGCCTGACAGGCTGGACTTGGCAGCTCCCCAAGAGCAACACGGAGCCCCTGGGGTCATGGGTCCTCATGGTTCCAGAGGCAGTGACTGCCATCTTCCTTCACCTTCACGTTCAGGCCAGGAGAGTCCTGAAACCAAACAGAGGAGACAGCTGTGTCCTGTTGCCTGCTGGGGCTTGTTTCCCAGATGAGACTTTTACACGGTGCTGCTTGCCAGTCCACAGGCTGGGCAGTGAAGTCGACAAAGCACAGTGAGTAAATGCCATTTCATCCCAGTCCTCTGTTTCCATGACCAGGCTCCAGGTGGCCCAGCTCCTGAGGGTCAGCTCAGGGTGTCTGCACAGAGGTGGGAGTAGACAGGCCCTAGAGACCACTGGGGAATGGACTGAGGCCGACTCCCCTCACCTGCTCCCTCCCTGGCAAACAGCACCTCAGACCTAGACTTTGGAAGTGGCTGTGCCAGGCTCCCCGTGCTGCTGGGGACCGGCTTCTGCTTAGCAACCAAAGATGTCCTGACAGTTAGGCTTACCACTTCACAGGACCTCAGAGTGGGTCGCTGCAACTCTGCACCCCAGACAATGGGAAAGAGAGCAAGACACAACAGACTTGACAAGAGCATCACACACAGGAACTGCAAGGCTCTGCTGTCACCGGGAGATTCAGAGCCACGAGCTGACTTAGGTCTCAAAGCTACTCCTGACAACACCAGAATCTGAACTTGGCCTCCTGGCTTCCAGCTGGAGGCCTGCATGAGGTGAAGTTGGCCATGGCAGACCTATGCTAAGGTGACCCCTGTCAGCAGGCCTCTGGCAGGGCTCTTTACACGCTGATGACAGCATAAAGCACGATCTGAGTTTTGTAGCACTAAATGTGCAGTGGGGTCTGTTGGGTTCCTGGGAGCAGGAACACACCCCAAGTGACTGAATGCCTTCAGCAAGGGAGCATGAGCCTGGAGAGGGCAAGGGTGGCAGGGTGTGCAGAGAGGCCAGGCCAACCTCAGTGGACCCCAGGGTGTCACGATGCCCTTTTGGCTGAGTTAATTTCATGAGATGAGCAGGGAGTGAAGGGAGCAGGCAGAGGAAGGAGTTGGCTCCACACAGGCAAGAACAGGAAGCTGAGCTTTGGGGGGTAAAAAGCTCATACTTCAACAGTTCTGTGTGTGGTTGGTGATCACTGGGAGCAAAGTGGAAGCAATATTCCCTATCACCAACCTTCTGGGGTGGCCAGGTGCCCCTGGGAGTGCCCAAGTCTGGGATGTCACAGTGGTGCAACAGCTGGGCCAACTCGGGCTCCATTTCCTGGTGGGAGGAAAGTGCTGTCAATAGTCCAGTCCTGCCAGCACAGTGCCCCGCAGCCTCCCTGGCAACCTGGCTGGCCACAGGAGGTAGGGAGTCTCCATGCAGCCACTCAGCTGCAGCCCAATGGCAGATGGGCTGTCCTGTGCTTGCCAGACAGTTCTGCCCCACGGCTGGTTCACTTACCTCCCGTGGCACCCCAGGCGCTGTCTGCAGAGCTGAGCTCCTGTGCAGTCTGCAGTATCTGCTTCGCCAGTGTAAACCTCCTGCCCCAGTCAACACCCCTAAGCCCCTACCCCTTGAGGTCACCGTCTGAGCTGCTCACAGAGTTCAGCCAGCATCCCTGTGTCAGCAAGCAGCGCCTGTCTCATCAGACCCCACCTGAGCCTCCTGGAGGGCATTGGGTACAACCTGGCACCTTTTTCTGGGCAGCTCCTGACTGAAGGGAGGGTCTGACTCCTCCATGTCAGATGAGGACTGTCCATGGAAACACACTCCTCCTCCCAGCTCCAGTTCCGGGGAGTCCTTGTGCAGAAACTTCAGCCAGCGGCTCTCAGAGGGCTGTGTTGGGAAGAACAGGAAAGCAAGCCCTTTGACTGCGGCTCTCACACCCAGGGCTCAGGGATGGTGCCTGCTGGCGAGGCCTTGGAGAGGCAGCAGAACCCCCGAACGTCCATGTTCCCTGACCCAGTGACCCCACACAGACAACAAAGGCACAGAGATACTCGTGGCGCTGTAGACGTCATTGTTTAGAAAGTGTGGAGACAGCCTCAGGCACTCAAAAAAGGGATCAGTGCCAGCAGCCAGCTTTCCACCATATTCTGTTTTAAAAAATGAAAATACCTGGAAACTGCAACAACACAGAAGCATTTTGTTAGTGAAAACTTAAGCAAACACGTCTTTTCTTGACACAAAAATGATGTAACATTAAGCGTTCGAGTGGCTGACCTGGAAGCTCAGGTGCTGAGAGCTGCTTCTTTTATTTGGGGGTGTGTGTGTGGGGTGGGGGGGAGGATTGATTCAAGGTCACAGTTTGGAAGACCCTGGCCCAGGGCAGTAGGGATAAGAGAGGGACTAACACTTGGTTGGGGGTTGAGGGAGGAGGCCCCACTGAGGTGGAGTACACCAGCTCACAGGCAGGATTGGCATGGGGGAGGTTGTTAAAGCCGTTGTTGAAACAGCCATGCTGTCCATAGTGCCAGGAAGCCCCGTGTCAGCCAGAATCTTCGGAATTTAAAAGGAAACGGGTGACAACCAGAGTAGAGCATGGAAGCTCTCCCCAGGCTGGCCTCGGCGCCCTGGGACTGCTGTGTGTGCCATGAGGAGCTCTCCATGCCTTCGCGCCTTGGCACTCAGGTCCCAGATCCTGGCCTTGTTGAAGGTAGAGGCCCCAGGAATTCTGGGCCAGCAGGTGAGCAGGGCTGCCTGGGTCTGCGATGCACCACTCAGCTGGTCCCCACACTTTGCTCCCTCCACAGGCTGAGCTGTCTAGAACCCAAGACTCACCCAGGTGGTGGCTGGTGGCGTCTGCCTCCTGGATGAGCAGGTGCCTGGCTCCCGCAGGGATCTCAAACATCTTGATGTAGCCTTGGTGCAAGTGCAGGAGGACAAGGCCCAGTGAGAAGACAGCAAGCCCCACCTACCCACTGTGGGCTCTGACCACCCACCAGGAGAGGGGCCAAAGGGAGAGTGGCTCCGGCCCCTCTGCTTATCTTCAGACCCAGACACCCCACTGGCCTATTCCACTGGAAACACAGTGGGGAGTCCAGGCTGCATTCCTTCAGGCAGGGATTCAGAGCTGCCATGTTTAGGAGGGAGGCTCTGGGTACTCCACTTGACCTGTAATTCTCAGCCACTTGCTCTGCACGTGTCATCAGACATCCAACCTCTGGTAGGGCTGTACTAAGGCCAGCCCCCAGCCCCTGTCTTTAGGACCTTGACCAGCACCGGGTACAGGATGAGGTCCACGTGGTCACTCTATCGCTTTATTCTCAAAGAAGTCAACTAAAGTGGCTTCTCCCCATTTCAGAGGTGGGCTGACGGAGGCCCAGAGGGATGCAGTTGGTAGCTGCTGGCCTGTGCAAAGAGCTGAGGCCTGGTGGAGGCACAGCCCCAGGCATGAGTGTGGTTTGAGCACATCTGGAAGGGCCCTGTGTGCTGCTGCTGGTGGTGGTGGTAGTTAGGAAGTAGTGGGACCTACAGGGACCTGGTGGGAGTCAGTCAGGTCAGGGCCTGGGGGCCCTCTACCACTCAGTACCACCCTCTCCACCTCATGTGGTCTAGGCCCGGTAGGAACCCAGGTCACATCCAAATAAACCTCTTCACTCACATGGTGCCTAAGTCTGGACAGTGGTGACAACAATGCAAGAGACAAAGACAGAAACCCACCCCAGAGCCTGTCTCCCCTGGCGAGGGACCCGTAGCACCTAGCCCCACCCAAGGCTCCAGAGAAGTCAGACCTTCCATGCTTCCAGGTCACCTAGCAGCCCAGGGAAGTGCTGCTGAAAGCCAGCTGGGGAGGAGCCTGCTGCAAGGCAGAACTCCAGTAGAGCTTCCTAAGGTCTGTTCTCTGCCCTGTCACCTGGGGCCCTCTCCCTCTGCTCCCCACTCCCTCACCTCTGCCAGGACAGGACTGACCCAGGGGCGGGACTCACCGTGCCTCTTGGGGGAGCGTGTGAATGTGCCCTTAACCACCTTGCACCGGGTGTTGTCTCCTCCGCACACACCACACTTGTCCTCCTGCTTGCTGGAGCCGATCACCCCATCGCAGCCCACCTTCTGCAGGGGAAGCAGGCTGTGAGTAATCTGCACACCCTCTCCTCGCCCTGGCACCTGCCTGTGACCTGGCACCAGTTACCCCTTTGCCCACTATCAGGGGGAGAAAATCAGGCTCTGGTTTCAGGAGGAAGACAAAGCCTGCTAGCCGTCTTCCGGGAGTGTGACCTGAATGATGCCCCCTTGCAGGCCCAGAGGTCCAAGGGTTAGGACACAGCAGGCCTTCAGGGGACACCCTTGCTCTGGCACTGTGCAGCATAGGCCTGGCTTCAGAGGCTCCTACCCTAAGGTCCACTCCCTGGCCAGTCCACTCAACACCGCCACACCTGCACTAGAATTATTCTGTCCAGAGGAAAGGCGATGCTCTGCTCCAGGCCACCTGGGGGAGGCAACAGCATACTGAAGTGATTTGATTTTCCATGGTCCTAGCAGTGTCCACTGCGAGGCTCAACAAGGAAAATCCCTCTTTGGGGCTAGTCTGTGCCCACTGACCACCCTCAGAGTGCTTGATGGCATCACAGATTCCCCCCTTCCTCTTGGCTGCCAGGAAGCTCGGTGCTAATTCTCCCTTAGCAATCTTCCCGCACCAATTAGGAGAAACTCTTCCTCCTGGCACTGTGTGTTCTGGTGCTGGTCTTATCAGGACCACGGCGGGCAGGGGGCTCTAGACCCTGACAAAGCTAAGAGCAGCTCCTCTGTAGCGGCTCAAGTTCGCAATCTTTGGTTTTCCGCTTTTTTATTCACTTTTGGAAGTGAGCAGGGTAAAAGCATTCCGTACAAGGAGCACGCTTGTGTTCACATGGATGGTTCTAGAGAAAAACCCATCTACCAAAAGGAGGCAGCATGGTGGGCCCAGCCTGGGAGCACAGGCATCACCCCTGTCTGTGCACCCCCACAGTGTGCTCCCTAAACACTGTTTGTAACAGCAATGGACCTGATGTTGCTCTCTAAGCACAGGGTAGCTGGCTGGCTAGGACCTGGCCCCAGACATTACCCTGCAGATCTTGGGAACTCGTGTTTGGGTAGAATTCTTGGCAGCTGTCAAGATGGTGCATCCTGGTGTGCACACAGAGTCTGGCTTATGAATTATGCCTGGAATTGTGAGCTCTTTCTAACAAGGGTCCTACCAGGCAACTGGACAGGCTGCAAGAAGATGGGGAAGAGGAGGGAAGGGAAGTACAGCATGCTATGAGAAGCCACAGTGGTTCTGGGGTTTCCTGCTGAGAGGCACAGAGTGGGTCACAAGGGACAGAGAACAGCCAAGCTCTGGGTCCAGCAGAGCCGGCAAGCTGCAGCAGCAGCGGCCTGGCATCCCTTTTCCCGGAAGTTTGGAGGGATATTGTCTGGCAACAGGTAAGGCAATTACTGGCGTTGCTCTTGCCAGACAATGCAGCCCTCTCAGGGTTCCCAGGGACAACATCTCATCCTTGGAAAAGCCCCTGATGATGCAGGTGCCATTCAACACTCAGCATCATGCAGCTGGCCTCACTCAGGTAGGCAGGAACACCAGGCAGATGAGGCTGTGAAGGGTAAATGATGCTGCTAGCCTACCAGCTCTTCCCTTTAATTCTGAAAGGGCTGATGGTGCAGAGAATAACTCGGGTGGAAGATGTTGCAGTGCTAGCGGGTGACTATCCCCTGGGGGTAGGGTTGGGGGCAGTGGGGAGCTAACGAGGTCTGGCTTTTCTGTCTGTGATACAGTCCTGTCCATCAGCCCCTCCCTACTGTACAGAGGTTTTACAACCTGCATGCGGTGATGCGTTCTGAATTCACCAAAGCATGGACCCTGTCGGCCTTGCTCATGCCTGCTTCACCAAGCCACTGCCGTGTGTGCGCCACACCTGGGGCAGGTCGGCACACCTCTTCTCTCTCCATCTTTCTGTGACCTGTCGGGGATCATGGTAACCTTCTCACACGACCTTCCTGATGCATTCTGCTTCCTGTATTATGACTTTCATGGTACATCTTTGTGGGGGACAGCACAGAAATATAATCTGCAGATGCCACAGGCCCTGTTTAAAGCCATTGGGTTTAGATGATCCCCCAACAGCTACCTGGTGTTCACCCGTGTTAGGTTCCCAAGAGGGTATTAGGACATTTGACCTCCTCTGCTTCTGTTGTCCGGATCAGAGGTGAGGTTGCAGTCATGCCCATGAGATGGTGAATTAGCACACCCAGGTTCAGAACCATGGACAGCTGCTTCTACTGCTAACGGCGCCCCCTACTGGGGGCCTGCACTGAGAGAGAGAGAGAGAGAGAGAGAGAGAGAGAGAGAGAGAGAGTGTGTGTGTGTGTGTGTGTGTGTGTGTGTGTGTGTGTGTGTGTGTGTGTCCGTCCCTTGGCCTGCACTTTGCCGTTTAGACGTCTTAACATTCTTCTCATGAACACACTTCCCCCATGCAAAGCAACCCCTCTTAAGTATATAGCCCAACACTGTCTTTATCTGACTCACCTGACCCACGTACATCCAGCCAGTTTCCCCAGCCCTCAGCCAGGCCAGGGCTTGGCATCCCACAATACAGCCTCCTACCTTTTCTAAAGTATTATTTAAAGGATCCCAAAAGGGTGCCTGCTTAGTTTTGCAGTTTTTTTGAGGGCTGGGGGTAGAGACCGTGGCCCAGGTTCTCCAGACACAGAACCTAGCCCAGGCTCTTCCTTACCCCTGTATCTGGCCAACCCCACTGCCTCCCACTGTGCTCCTATACACAGCCCTGCCCTGGTACAGGTTGAGCCTGGCTGGACACCCGGGTGCTCAGGCAAATGCACACTCCCAGTCATGGCCTTGAGCTCAACTCCCTGAGGCCAGCCCACCCTGACCGCAGGGTACTCACCCTGCAGTCCCCGCGCACGCAAAGGCTGAAGGCGTCCTTGTAGGAGCAGCGTGTGCCGTCGTGCACCATGCGCTTCATGGACACCACCTCCCCGGTCTCCTTGGACTCGCAGTAGAGGTGACAACGTTCCTTGGCTGGAGGGAGGTGGCATGGCATTAGCCGGGAGCTGGGAAGGAGGGTTCCTGTGCCTGCTGGCTTACAGCACCCACACTAAGGGGACCCTGTCAGGAACCCTGGCAGCAAAATCTGCATCTCTGTTCACAGCTAAGCTGCAGCCCCAGTGCTCCCTGTGAGCTTGGTGCCTTCCTGAGCTGCCAGCCTGGCTGCCTGGCCCGTCAGGTCCACATGCTCCATCAAGCTGTGACCTTGCTCTCCGTGGTCTGAGTGGCTGCTCTCACTCCCTGTCTGCCTCTCAGATCCACCCTGAGCAGGGCCCACCAGTGCTGACGGATGTCCTACCCCACTACACCTCACTACTTCTGCTCACGTCTGACTTCTCTGTTACTGGAAGACAAGAACCTCTGTTCCAGTGGTGCCTGCTAGCAGCAGAAGGCACACAGGGTGTGCAAATGCAGTGCCTCTGTCCCCAATGGGTCTCTGCACTGGTGCAGCCCTGCAACCAGTGATGGCTGCATAAGACATGTCACGGCTGCAGCTCCCAGGCTTTTCTGTCCTGTGAAGCCACAGACGCCTTAGGGTGTGTTTTCCTAAGCAACACCTGTGTCCCATCCCAGGGATCCCTGCTGAACCAGCTTTTCATTCCCGGCCGGCCCAGTCCTGCACCTCCAGTCCTGCCCACCAGGTGGCGACGGCGGACTTCAGTCCTGCTTGGCCTCTCTGGCCTTGCTCTGGCTTGCCTGGGATTGCTACCTTGTTTGAAACCTAAGTTCCACCCACCCACCCCAGCAGCAGGCCCCGTGGGTCCTGAAGTATAGAAGGGTGCAGGCCCCAGTTGGACTTTCACCAGCCCAGATGCTGAGCCCCTGCTGTCCCTGGTCTCACCATCCCGGTGCTCGTGGGGTAGCCAGTGGTGCTGGCCATCACCATGCTCAAAGTACAGGTCCCACTGTCGGCACTGTTCCTCGCGGAAGTCGGCCAGGGTGTCTGGGCAGTCCTGAGGGTTGCAGAGCTGGAAGTCGTAGGCAAGGCCTGAGCAGGTGCGACCACCATTGGCTGGGCTGGAGGGGAAAAAAATACAAGTCCTGTCGCTGGGAGCCACCGGGTAGCCAGCACTTGGGGTGCCATTTGTGGAACAGGGAGGTCCCAGAGGGTGGTCCCAGCCTTTGCCTGCAGCCTGGCCCAGCCTTGGCTATTGTGGGCATCTGGGGAGTGAACCAGCAGATGGGAGATCTCTCCCTATTCATCTCTTATAAATAATAACTAAATTTTAAAATGTCCTTAAGAGTTTGTGAGAATGCAAGGGCCTCCTTCCTGCCTCAGCTCCTATCCAGGGTAGTAGCTTGGGGCCTCCAGACAGGAAGGAGTGAGCATGGGCAGAGAGGGTTCCGTGGACAAGCTTGGGAGCTGGCCCCACGCAAGGTACTCTGGGGGAAAGCTGACCACTGCTGAGCTCTGGCCCTCAGATCCTGTAAGGCTAAGATGAACTTGACTTCTGCTGTGGTCTGGATATGATTTGGTCCCCAGACTCAGATAGGAATTCAAATCTGAGGTTGTAGATTCAGAAGGTGGAAACCTCACCTTTTTAGCAGGGCTCAGTGGGAAGGCTTCCCATCCTTGAGGCCAAGCCTCTGGTTCTCACAGAGACCAGCCTCTGCTTCCTCCCACCTCCACTGCCACCTGCTGCCTGCGCCAGAGGCCAAACCAATGGGGTAGTGCCATCTTGGACTTGAACCCTGCAAGCCATATGCTATGTGGACTTTTTCTCTTCCTAAAGTGAGTTGGCTCCAGAATTCTGGCATTGTGATGAAGAGCTCGCTGGTTGAACCTCTGATCCAGGAACCCTGAAGGCTGATGCCTCAGGCTCCCCATGGCCAGCACAGAGCCTGATCACAGATGGTCAAACGGCCCAAGTGGGTGGACAGGGCGATCTGCTGCAGGGGGTGTAGCTTGGCTGAACATGCATGCCCTCTAGAGCTGAGTCTAGAGCTGCACTGATGGCGCTCAGCTTGGAAGTCACAACTCTGTTTTATGCTATTTCCTGTGAAATTCCAGAATTTTAGTATTTTCAGATAAACTGAAGTCTTGAAAACACTAGACAAGTGAAATAAAATGAAAGAGAGAGGGGGAAAAAAGGAGGGAAAAAGAAAGCAGGAACAGAATAAGAGAAAGCAACCCTCCTGTGTTCACACAGCCATAACCACAGAGCCTCCAGCATGAGGCCCATGAGCAGGTGGAAGTGCTGGTGTAATAGAGATTTAGCCATGATGCTGGCTGGCACCCACAGTCCACTCTCTAAGGGCACACACTGCACTGGCTGGGCCAAGGGAAGGGATTAGGTAGGGGATGCTCTCAGGCGATCATGGCAGGGTAGGAATGAAGAGCTGGCTGTGGGTGGGGGAAGGACATGGATTGGGAGAGGGGTCTGCCTGCGGGGGTGAGGCTGGTTAAGGGTAGCCCCACAAGCTCTCTCCCTGTCAGGCAACTCTGGGGTAGCAGGTCCCAACCCTGTCTCCCAGGCACTGAGAGAGCCTCCTCTCCATCCCAGTGTCCTCCACAGCTGTGCACCTGCTCCCCTCCATGCCCTAGGACACGGTGGGTTGATGGCTGACAGGTCAGGAACGCAGGTTTCCAGGCTGTGTGGGTGGCAGGACCTGACCTGCCCTTCTGCTCTGGCCTGCAGGGTAAATCTGGCCTGCGAGGATTTGTGGGGGACTGCAGCTATCGCTGAGGAGACACTGGGGCCAACTTACGGTGGGTTGTCACACTGGCGGGTCCTGAACTTCACACCTGTGCCGCAGGTGCGTGAGCAAGAGCCGAATGGGGTCCAGGCGCCCCAGTTGCCATCCCGTTTGAGAATGTCAGGTGTCAGCCAGATGCAGTGTCCCTTAAAGCAATGCTGCAGAACAGACAAAAAGCCATGCCCTTGACCTGAATCACACAAACAAGGCTACTCGCACAGCCCACCCCACTGTGAGGCCTGGGCCACCTGCCCTGTGCCAAAGCACCAGGGGCACATGAGGAAAGGTATTCCCACACTCAAGGTCAGGTCTGGCTACTGGCTGGGCACTCATGTCCCTCCGTCTCCCAAGGCCAAGGGGAAGGGCTCAGGCAGGAGGTGCCTCGTGCTGGCCTCCCTCCAGCTCTGGCTCTGCCCTCCTGATCACAGCATGCCCCTCACAGTGTCTGTAAGAACAAGGTTACCCACATGCCCATTTGGGGAGTGACAACAGCGCATCCAGCTCATGATTCCAGAGACGTTGCTTAACCCATTTACAAAGTCCCACCAAAGGAGGGTCTCTGCTTTTTATTGGTTAAACTTGTCTGGTAAAGTATTATGCCTTTTTGCTGTAATGTTAATCTCAAAAACAAAACAAACCAAACAAGGGAGAGAGAGGAAGAAAGGGAATGTTACATTGTTAGAATTAGATCTACAAACTATATTGAATCTGCTAAAAAGAAAAAAACTACTTAAAACTAAAGGAAAGCATTAAAAATAAAGGGCACTTACAACTCTAACTTACAACTTAGTAGTAAAATACAACCCTAACTTACAACTCACTGATAACAGAGTAAATAAACAAAGCAGGGGCAGGTGTGAGGGTTCAATTGACTAATTCTCCTCTTGCAAGCTCCAGCCCTCCATGGGCACAAGTTCGTGTCCCAGCTGCTCCACTTCCTATGAAGCTCCCTACCTCTGGTCTCAGGATGGCCCAAAGCCTTGGGACCCTGCACCCACGTGGGAGATCTGGAGGAAGCCCCTCACTCCTGGCTTTGAATTGACTCCACTCTGGCCATTGCAGCCATTTGGGGAGTGAATCAATGGATGAAGGATCTTCCTCTCTTTCTCTCTGTGGATCTGCCTTTCCAATAAAAATAAGTAAACCTTAAAAAAAAAAAGTTAAGCAAAGCAGGGCTGGCATCATGGTGTAGTAGGCAATGCTGTCTCCTCTAACACTTGCTTCCTTTATGGGCACCAGTTCAAGATCTGGCTGCTCCACTAATGATCCAGCTTCCTTGTAATATGCTTGAAAAACATCAGATGATGTCCCAAGTGTATGAATGCCTCCCACCCACGTGGGAGACCCTTTAAATAAAGCTCCTGGCTCCCAGCTCCAGTGATTTGGGAAATGAACTAGTGGATGGAAGATCTGTGTGTGTGTGTGTAGTTTAACTTTGACTTTCAAATAAACAACAAAAAAAAATTTTTTCAACATCAGAGTAGGAAAATCTATAGAGAAAGGAAATCTGCAGAGGAAGCAGATAAGTGGCCATCTGGGCATGATGGCTGGAGTGACCGCTGATGGGTCCCTGGCTTCTCTTTGGTGTGATAAACGTATTTGCTCTGAGAGTCGGTAGAGCTCCGTGAATATCCCGAGAATCACTGAGTGTTCTTTGTCTGTGGCTGCCTTCGCATGAGGTCACTTCTGGTGAGATGGAAGTGGCCTTCACACAGCAGCTTGCCAGCCCTGTGTAACATGTTGAAGGCAGCTCTTTTTCTCTTCCTTAGAACCAATCATTTAAATAAGCCATTGGTGCTGTCACCTAAAGGGTGGACACAGGCCACCTTTCCCTGACAGGGTTCATAGGGTGTGTCCTGTCTTCTTGATCAGAGCTCAGCTTTCAAAGGCTCTTACGATGAGCGACACTTCACAAGCTGAAGCTGTCAACATTCTTACTTTAGGAGTTTCACGTTGTCTCAGATGCTGTCAACATTTCACGTCAACTTAGAAGGAAGGTGAAATGCCTGGCCAACTCGCTCATCTGCCCCTTTACCCATTGGCTGTTCCAAATCTTGCCTGTCACCTTCATGAAGTACAACGATTGCTCTTGGTTTGATCCAAAATGAGATTTGTTGTTAAAAGTCAAATTTTGAAGACAGACTTATTTTTCCTTTTTCAAAACAGATGTGTTTTATTTATTTGAAAGGCACAATGACAGAGTTATGGGGAGGGGAGAAAGAGACATAGAGATGAGAAACCCATCCACTGCTTGACTTCCCAACACCTGGAGCTGACCCAGGCCAAAGTCAGGAGCCAGGAGCCCCATCCAGGTCTCCCACATATATGGATGGCAGAGGTTGGCCAGCCCAGCTCCAGAGCTCTGATGGAACTGGCTGAGCCCTCAAAGAGAGCCATGCCCCTGTCCAATGCATCATCATGCCTACCTGGAAAGCTCTTGCCATCAGAGCTGCTTGTGAGAGGATGTGTCCCATCTCCCTCCTGACCCACCAGCAGGTCCTTCTTTACCTGCCCATCTGTGCACAGGTTTCTGCCATGACCCCTGACCCCTCACCCCTACAGCCTGCTGAACTGCTCTCAGGCCTGTCCTGAACCCAAACAGAGCCCACTGCACAGGCTGTTCCTCTCTGGATTTTCCCCTGGCCTCCACTATTGCCCAGCTGGAATAACAAGCCCAGTGGGCCTGGTAGGGGTTCTTCAGAGTTGCCCGGCTAGGTCACAGTACCTGCTGGTATACACAAGAGCCAGGGCTGAGGACAGCACAGGTCAGGTTAGGGCTATAGCATCTATGCATGTACACAAAAGTCAGAGCTTGGAGTGGGGGTTCTTAAGGGTCGCCTCAGCTAGGCTGCAACACCCAATGGCACATGAGACAGCCAGGGCTCGGGGCTGAGCCTGCTGGGGGGGGGGGTCCCTTGGAATTATACCAGCTATGCTATAGCACCTACCTGTAAACATGAGAGCCGGGACTGGGGGCAGGCATGGTGGTGGTTCTTAAGAATCTCCTTGGGCCTGGTGTGGTGGCCTAGCAGCTAAAGTCCTCGCCTTGAATGTGCCAGGATCCCATATGGACACCGGTTCTAATGCCAGCAGCCCTACTTCCTATCCAGCTCCCTGCTTGTGGCCTGGGAAAGCACTTGAGGACAGCCCAAAGCCTTGGGATCCTGAACCCATGTGGGAGACCTAGAAGAAGCTCCTGGCTTCAGATCAGGTCAGCTCTGGCGATTATGGCCACTTGGGGAGTGAATCTTCAGATGAAAGATCTTCCTCTCTTTCTCTCCTCCTCTTTGTATATCTGACTTGGCAATAAAAATAAATAAATCTTAAAAACAAACAAACAAACAAATGAAAACAGAGAGAGAGAGAATCTCCTTACTAGACCACCACACTCACCAGGTCATTGTGAAGAGTTGGGCTGAGACCAGGACTGGCCACCTGCTAGCATGTGTATGGGTTAACACAGGGGGCATGCTGGGCCCCCTGCACCAGCCAGAGCTCATGGGCTCTAGCTTAGAACCTCGTAAGTGGGGACTCTTAAGGGGTTTCCCAACTAGACCATTGTGCTTGATCAATCCCTGACCTCAGGGAAAATCATGTGATCTGACCGTGCAGCCCATGTTATAGGACTGAGCCACCTCAGTGTTGACTCTCATGCAAGGATAGAGAACATACCTAGATGTATTCAAGAGACAAGACAGTTTGCTCCTCTGAGCAAAAAGACTAGGACACCCCACCAAAGGGTGGGAAGAAGGGCAAGCTGAACAACACACCATGCCAGGTGTTACAGCAAGCATACTGAGACGCTCAGGGACAGCCAACAGTCCTTAGAATTTCTCACCTCTGGTGTATCAAATCTGACATCTTTTCAGAACAATCAAGACCACTCGAGTAACACTCTTGGAACATTTTTTCCTTCACTGGGACTCTTAAGCTGACTGAGATGGTCTGACAGCAAGGAGCTATCATATCCCACACCCCCATGGAAACATTTGTCACACTCACCTTCCTACTCCCACCCTACCCAACTCCACAATCCTCTCCATCTTAATCAGAGGCCCACATGGATCTGCAACCGCCTCAACTTCATAATAAATACTACAGTAAAGTAACAATTAAAAAAAAAAATAAGAAAACCAAAGAGGTCCAGCAGGCTGGCTCCAGGCCACCAGGAATCCTGGTCACGTCTGTGCTGGACCATTGTCATCCCCTCTCTTCTCACTAAAGCTATTCTCATTCGGCCAGGAAGGACAGAGAAAGCACACACAGAAATGCTGGCTGCTGTCCCCTCTAGTGGGGGCACTTAGTGGGGCTGAAAGGCCCGGGGGCTGGCACAGGGGAGGGAGTGCTGTGTTCCTGTGCAGGAAGGGAAGTCTGGTTCCTGCCGTGATGGTAACAGGAGCAGAGCCCCTCACCGACAGAATGGGTGGGTCCTCCCAGCAATAGATCTGGGGCACAGTCCCCAGGCCCTAAGGATCCCAAGAATAAGGGGAGATCACACTGTGACCACCCCCAGTTCCAGCAGGCACAGAGAGCCTAGTATAGCCACACGGGACACCCATGAGGCTCAGCAGACCCTCAGCCACCTGCAAAGAGGCATTGCGTGTCTGCTGCAGGAAGAAGGCAAACAAAGCAGACGGGAAGTCGCCCCCTCCCCACCCAGCATGCTTCGGGTGCTGGGTGACTGAGCATTTGTGGAGTGTTGCCTTAAACCAGCAGCTTCATGTCTGGCTCTCTCATGTGGTTAGGTGTTAAAATGCTTCAAATAGTCAGGGTTTAAATGCCTACAGATTCACTATTCACCAGATAGGCTTCCACCGGGGGTGCTGCAAAGTCAGGTGGCCCCAGCGCACATGGAGCCCACATGAGGAATAGGGACTAACAGAACGAGGAGCCGCCTGGGGCTGGCTCCCTAGGCTACTCCCCTCCTGCTGCAGGGCACCAGGCAGTCCACAGGAGTCTCCCTCTCTGGCTGAGCACCCAGCCCTTGCCTTTCATTCACTCTGAACCCCTCTTGCTGCATCCCACCAGAGTCCGTGGCTCTGAACCTCAAGGGCATGGATGACACCCCACTCCCACCCCCCACCCCAGCCCTGCCATCCTCCCAGCCCCTTGCTGCAGCAGAGCAGACAGGAGCAAGCTGCCCCAGTTAAGGGCGGGGGAGGGAGAGAGCTCATTTGTGGATGTTTTTCACTTCTCTCCAGGTTGCCTGTGTGCATGCAGATTTTTGCTCCAGTGGAGAATTAAAAACAAAACAAAATGTTGAGTAGGCACAAGTGGAATGGAACACCAGAGATCAAGACAGGCGGGCATACTCATGACCCCTTGGCTGGGAGAAGGCAGCCCAGTGGTGTCCAAGGTCTGAGCTGTGTGCTGCTGGCTGCTGCTGAGAGTCCCAGGGACCCTGAGGCCCTGCTGGGTGGGGTGCAGCCCAGGTCCTTGCTCTTCTCTCAGCCCGGCCCGACCTTCCCTGTGCCTTCTCTCCTTGCCTTTTCTTGTTAGGCAAGCAGGTGCAGGCAGGAAAGCCTCTTGCTCTGGTTTGAATGTGTTCCACTGTTGGAATCTGACTGTCCCCCATGCCCCAGCATGCCCACATTGACAGGTGGGAGCCTGACAAGATGTTTGGGCCATGAGGCTCTGCCTCCAGCAGGGGCTTCCTGGTCCTTTCAGGGGTGTCACTTTGTTACCAAAGGACAAGTTTGACCACTTTATCCCCACCTCCAGAGCCGGAAGCCTGCTTGTTAAAAATGAGCCTGTTTAAGCCCAGCACGGTAGCTCCTGTGGCTTAAGGTCTCACCTTGCACATGCTGGGATCCCATATGGGTGCCAGTTCTAATCCTGGCAGCCCTGCTTCCTATCCAGCTCCCTGCTTGTGGCCTGGGAAAACAGTTGAGGACAGCCCAAAGCCTTGGGATCTTGCACCTGTGTTGGAGACCTAAAAGAAGCTCCTGGTTTCTGGTTTCAGACTGACTCAGTTCTGGCCATTGTGGCCACTTGGGGAGTGAACCAGTGGATGGAAGATCTCCCCCCTCTGTCTCTGTTCCTCCATGTATGCACAACTTTCTGTAGAAGGACATTATGACCCTGGAAGGTCAGCGAGCACAGGATTACAATTGATTGGATAATATTTGTATGATAACAACCGAATGGATACCTTTTGTATAACTGATTGGATATCATTTATATGAGTTGAGTGGACAGATGTGAATGAGAACACTTGGTGGAATATACAAAACAAAAGGAGTTCCAAACAAAAGTATAGAAACGGTTGATGGGTTTGTTGATAAGCTCAATACTCCCTCCCTTATCCCATATGACCCTCAGTGTATAAAGTCTGATGCCACTAATAAACTTTTGACCATCAGTCAGAGTCCATGCGTGTTATTATTGGCTCCATGCACCAAGTCCATCGCTGCGGGACAGCGACAACTTTCCAATAAAAGATAAACAAATCTTTAGATTAAAAATAAATAAATAAATTAATTAAAAAAAATATATATATACACACATATATATACTAGATGTGGTAAGCCAGATGTAAGAGTTTACCCATTGCATGACCCCACAGATATAAAATTTCACATAAACGATTCTGTCTCTACGGAGACAGAAAGCAGACTGGCAGGGAGAGGCAGGCAAGAGGTGGTTGATCCACAGATTTTCCTTTGGGAATGATGAGAAAGCTCCAATATCAGATAGTGGTGATGATCTCACAATACTGTGAACGTACTAAGTGCATATGAACAGTGCCCTTTAAAGGGCTTAAAATGGTGGGTTTTGTGTTATATGAATTTTATCATAATTTAAAACGAAAGAAAAAAAGTCTCAAGCCCTTCTCCAAACCAAAGTCTTCAGGGCTGGGCATGGGACACTGTCTCTGAAAGTTCTACCAGAGGCTACAATTAGGAAGCTGGCCCAGTCCCAGACGAAAGATCTGCATCAAGAGCCACAGGTCTTGGGGAACTGAGCGGGGACCATTCAGGCCTGATGTTGCAGTTCATACACTGGCATGTACTCCACAGTGCCCCCTGCTAGACCTAATCCAAGGTCTTGACTTACATTCATCTGCATATGCAATAACTCTATGTGGAATGACTGGCCCAGGTGCAAGTGATGTGCAAGTGATTGGCCCAGGAACAAGTGTGTGTTTTCACTTGAACCAATGAGAAAATTAGTCTGGAGTTTTGGCTGGACTAACAAGGAAGACATCAAAAGCTGGCCAATGGGCCTGAGGTGGTCGCGCAATGATTTCAAGGGACAGATCTGTGTGACAAGGAACAAATGCTCAAATGTGGGGGACAGAGAGGCTGTAGCGGGCCGGGAGACCCAATAGCCACAGTTCCTGGCAGTATGCAAGGGTGACAGAGGCAGCCAGCCCCACATGGCTTCATGGGGTGGAGGACTCCCTGGGGGTTTGGTGCACAATGAGGGGATCTGAGAACCAGGCTTGCTCTCGCTGGAGTCACACAGAGAAAGCTCCTGGCCCCCAGCAGGCACTGGGCAATCAGCGGCTCACGGGCCTGTCCTCTGCCTGACTTACCTTGCCGGGAGCGCACATCGTCCCATCTAAGGGGGGGCCCTTCTTGGTCTTGCAGAAGTAGGGGTTATCGGGGTGGCTGCACCACAGCTGCTTGCAGGGGTCTAAAGTCCGGAACTGGAAGAGAGCACAAGCCACCGGCTAGGCCACATCCCTCTGCAGGCGACCTGGGACCCCACGGGGCCCATAGCTTCAGACATCCCCACAGCACTGGCCTGTGACAGGCCTGGGTGGGTGGCAGGCTCCAAAAGCTCTGCCTCTCTGCCCTGCCTGGGCATCTCCTTATGGAACAGGAAGGCTTGGGTGGGCATCCCTCTCTGGATTAGGCAGCTTGGAAGAGCTGGGGTATCTGCTGCCTCTCCCTGCTCCCCTCCTCCCACCTCACCCCTGGCAGGACTGTACTTCCCGAAGCCCTCCCTCTGCTCCTACAGGCCTCCCTGACCTAGCTCTGTCCTCTGTCCCCTGCACTCCACAGTCACATCCTCCATGGCCTCTCTGCTCCCTGGCCTGGCAGCCTTTCTTCTAGCAGGTGCCTTTCCACAGCTTCCTAGCATCTAGAGCATCAGGACTCCTGCATCGCTGAGTCACAGGAGGAGTTAACTCTCCTGCTTTGTTCCTAGGCCGGCCAGCCGCAGCAAGCCTCTGCTTTCCTACCCAGGACACGGGAGGACTTGACAATAACTTTCTTCACACAGTAGAGATCAATGTTAAGTCAGACCCTCATACTCCGAGTGCACTGGGGTGACAAAGGCCAGAGTTGATTGCCATCTCTGCATTTAGTCTGGGGGCACAACAGTTCCTGCTCTGGGCCATGCCTTCTCTGGGCCTCTGCACCTCAGATTCCTCCCCTTTCTCTCCTTATTCCTTCCTCCAGAAAGTCTTCCTGGTCCTGCAGGCTGACATTAGGCCCTTCAGCAGGCTTCTCGCAGCCTTTGCTGTGTCCTGCCCCCTGTGTCCTGCACTTGGCTAGCTCCATGCCTGGACCTGCCAGCTGAGTGGCCGCCACTCCCCTAACACCTACCTCCTCCCCTAGAGGCCTGCCAGGCTGCTGCATGGGCCCTCCTTCCCGGGCTGGAGAGATGCTGCAGGGAATTGTGGGCCCCCACACTCACCGCCGTGCACATCATGTAGCCCAGGCCAAAGTCGAAACGGCACTGCTCATTCATGGAGTAGTGCAGCCCCGGCAGCTGGGGCAGCGCCGGCCAGTCATGGGCGAAGGGGTCATCCCGCAGACAGTCGTAGGAGCTATGGGAGATATGTTGGTATGGCTAGCAGCCAGCAGTGGGCCTACCCCTCCACCCCCACAGCCCAGCCTCAGTTGTGCTGCCTCACTTTCCAAGCTGGATCACTTTTCCTTGGAGTTAGCTACCAGGACCCAGGCCTGTGCACAGATCAGGACGGCTGCCTGGCCCTAGGACCAAGACCCAAAGGCAGGGCTGAACTCAGGTGCACTGCAAGCTTGCTGCCCCTCCCAGAGTACAACTTAGGCTGAGAGGACCCCAGGGTGGTACTCACTGCAGGTAGCGGCTGAGCTCCTGCTGGCTACAGCGAGACCAGTGGAAGCGGTGGAAGGCGGCCTGCACCAGAGGCGCCATGATGCTGCCCAGCCGCACCTCGTCCCCGCAGCGGTTGCCTTGCCCATCGTGCTCCATGCCCAACCTGCATAGGGAGCAAGCAGATCCAACTGAACTCCCACCTGGCCGCACCCACCTACCGCCTTTCACCTCTCCTGACCTTGGCTGGCCTGGTCTGCCTTAAGCCAGGTAGAACTGACTTCCCAGCTGCCAGGATTCTAAACACCAGGGCCTTTCCAGACAGACAGCATCCAGCAGAGTGTGCCCTCCGCAATCCTGTCCCAAAGGAGGGGCACGGTAAAGGCAGAGGTACCTGTGGCCCCCACTCTGAGGCTCAGAGGATCATGTGGGTGACATGGGGTACAGGGCCCACCCTTCCCCCTTGCCATGAGGGGGGTGATGGTGCAAGGCTGCTCCCACCAGAGTCCACCAAGCACCCTTTGGGCCCTCAGTTGTTTCCTTTCTTTGATTTGAACAAGTGGATCTGGGGCCCACCCTGAAAGGATCTGGGGGATCAGAACATTGTTTCCCACAGCCCTTGTCCCTCAGAGTCAGAGGAGTAGAAGCCATATAGGGAAGGGGAGATGTGGGAGGGGGTGGCCCCAGAGGAGGTGGCCTGGGCCAGCCCCAAGCCTTCCCAGCCACTTACACGTGGCCAGTCTCATGGGCCACCACAAAGGCCGAAGAGAAGCCATCCTCGTGGTTCAGGGTGCAGCTGCGAACAGGGTGGCACATCCCAGTGACAGGAGCGTAGCCTGCAAGGAGACAAAAGGCAGCTCCAGCTCCCAGACCTGGAGCTCCACCTAAGGCAGCCCCAGGCCCCTCCCTGCAAAGACCACTGCCCACAGCTTCATGTGTGCTTGCTCCATGGATCTCTCCATTTGGGGTGGATACAGGCCCAGGCCCTTGTAGGCAGCCAGCCACGTGCTCAAACCACATTAAGGTAAGACAGACATGAGCCCCTCAACCTCACTTCTGCTTTCAGAGAAGCCTCCCTGTTCATGGGCATAACCGGCCTGGGTGGCAGGCACAGAGTCCTGACTATCCTTTGGTTCCCACTGCTGCCCATTCTAGCAAGGTACACCAAGCCACCTGACAACCTGCAAAACCAGACCTGATGTGACGGCCTGGCTTGCTATGTGGGGATGAGATTATTTGGGGCTTGCTTGTGGGGATGAGATTATTTGGGGAGGGGTCTCCTATTTTTCTGGGGAAGGATTCAGGAAGGTGTCAGGGAGTCCCACTCCCTAGGGTGGGGCTTAGGGAGATCACGATGTGCACAGGGAGCTAAGGAAACCTTGAAGCCCCAGCTAATGCTGTTCCTGGGGCTCAGCAAGAAGGGGCAGAACAGGGGGAGGAGGTCATGGTGTTTTAAGGTATGGCCTGTGACATTAACATGCCAAATGGGCACCAATGCATGCCCTGGTTGTCCACTTTCAATTCGGCTTCCTGCTAATGACTTGGTAAAACAACAAGGGTGGGCCATGTGTTTGGGCACCTGAGCCACATGAGCGACCAGGAAGAAGCCTCTGGTCTTTTGCCCAGCCTGGGTCCAGCCAAGAATTTGGGAAGTTAACCAGCACATGAAAGATTTCTCTCTCTCTGTAACTCTGCTTTTTTTTTTTTTTTAAGATTATTTATTTTTATTGGAAAGGCAGATTTACAGAGAGGAGAGACAGAGACAGAGATCAAAGACAAAACACAAAGACAGAGGCAAAGATGTTCCATCTGCTGGTTCAATTCCCAAGTGGCCACAATGGCCAGAGCTGAGCAGATCTCAAGTCAGAAGCCTGGCACCTCATCTACCAATCAGTGTGGGAGAAGAGGCAAAGGTGGTGCCACAGAGAGAGCTTATGGGATGGGGCAATTGTGTCAGCCTGGTCCGGGCCACTTGAGTCGACTCCCTAGTTATGCAGTCAGGGGCTAGGCAGTCAGCAGACAGTGCGCGGAGGAGAGCAGGGCCAGGGGAAGAGCAGTGATGCAGATAATTAGTGAAGGTGGTGGGGGCACGGGTATGTCCATTTCACTCACACACCATACACAGGTGTGTCCATCACACACACACACACACCATCCTCCCCTCCCCTCCATCCCCGTACCTTTACAGAGGCCCTTGGGGACAGACTGGAGATGAACCATTACATCATGGTGATCAAATGGCTACCTGGACACTTCTCTGAATAGTCTCACAAATTTTTATACAATTTTAAAACTTTTTTTTTTTAAATAAGATACCCACACATTTAAAAAAAATACACAAATTATCAGGATGCAACAGTGAAACCTCACCAAACGACCATGCTGGACAAGAATCAGCACCTCCTTCTCCAGTTCTAACAACTGCTGCCTTTCCTTTCCACTCTTCTTACCTCACACACTGTCCCCAGGCACCATGTGCACAGGCTTGGACCAGGGGGTGATGCTAAGGTGACCTGGGGGAGCCCTTAGAGGGTGGGGCCTAGTGGGAGGGCTGAAGGCCCTCTGTAGTGCTTGTCGCAGAGTGGGTTCCAGGCACTGGCTTGGCTGCCTGGCTCCCCCTGCAGTCTTCCCTGGGCCATCCACTACCCTTGTGAGAGGCAAAACCATGGGACTGCCTGATCTTGGACTTGAGTTCCCTACAACCACAAGCCAAGTAAAGCTCTTACTGCACCTGTCAAGTTGCTGCTGGGGAATGTCAACATCTGGTCAGCTCCCCTCCTTGACTGCAGGTGTCAGGAAGCATTCCAGGTGCATGCAAAAGGCTACCGGACTTCTACTTAATGGGCCTTATTATATCTATTTCCTAGACACACTGCATATATATATATTTATTCATTTGTCCTTTTCTTGCCCTGATCGTGCAGCCCATTTGACAGCATGCAGAAATTTCCTTTGATGGAGTGTTTCCTCCTTTGTAGTAAACTAGAGCTGCTCACTTACACAAGGGCCCACGCCCCCTGGCTCCTTTGGAAACTCACTTGGAGCTGTCGGCACCTGTGCCGCCTGATATGAAACTCCCCAGATCCCAGAATGCAGCTCTTCTATTTACCACCTCAGAGTACCAAGTGATTGACAGATTAATCTTGCTCACTTAAAAAAAAAATCATCAATACAAATGGCTTCTTGACCTCATCGTTAAATAAAGCCATGGGATCTGTAAACAGGAGTCAGCCTCTCCACACCTGTGTGGATGCACTACAATTTACCTCTTCTCCTGTTGATGGAACTGCGTTTTTCCATCATATGGAAGAGTATTACAATAAACAGTCCCGTGGTCTCTGGCACACACGTCTCCCACTTCTGGCAGGTGCATGTCTAGTAGCTGGAGGGGGCGGAAGCAGCTTTAGCTGACACTGCTAAATTATTTTCCAGAGGAGTTGCCTGATTTATTCTAACCCATGGAGAAGGAGAATTTCATTACCACATCCTCACCAAGATGTGTCATTTCCATCTCTCTTTTTAAATACTTTAATATTAGTTTGCTTTCACCTACTTAAGAAGCAGAATAAGGGGCGGTCCTACTGCTCGCCCAGGATGGGGCTAGAGCTGGGGACAAGACCAGGAAGGGGCGGGACTTGGGCCTGGGAGGCTGGTCCTCCAGCCGCTGCATGGCGGCTGGGGGGGCCCCCCCGGGATGTGCCGTTTCATGCCTGGTAACCACACAGCAGCTCCCACGCCCACATGGGGAGCTGCCCCGGGCGGCCAGTGCGCCATTTGGCGCTAGGCTCTGCCTGCTGGCCGCCCAGCCAGGGAGCTCTGGGATTTTGGTTCTTTGATTGCTGCTCAGATAGCTCCATGCTGAACCCTCAGTGCTTTGGGGACATGAAACAATCCTAAAGATTCCCAATGACAGTAAATCTTCCTCAGATGAACCTGTAACTAATACGGTCTCAACCCATGTGTTTTGAATAATTGTAATACCCAATATACTTTCAAAACCTTGTGATACTCAGAAATGGGGCGGGAGTGCAGAGAAATCTTCCATCTCCTTTGAATGTGTGAGGAAGCCGTGTAGTGTAACCTATCAGGAACATGACAGGTAACTTATAGACAATAGATTCAGAACAGCATTAGACAATGGTAAAAACTACAAAGACATACAGGGGGAATCATGAGCGACCCTAACAATCTATTAACAGGAGGTCACATGCACAGAATAGGGGGTGCCCCAGAGTGGAGCAGTGAGACAGGAGGAGGCTTGTATCCCAACCCTAGAGACTCCCGGATTCCCACCAAGGACTATCAGTACGGGCACCAAGGACTACATCACAACTGCCAAAGAGACCAAGGGGAACTGGAATGCCTTCAGAGGCCGAGAACTCAGAGGACATCCCTCCCCCCTTTTGGACCTACTACACAGGATGGAAGAAGCCCAAATCCTTCCTCATAGGATCCAAGGTCATCAGAACAACAGCCAGGAACCCTGAATGGTCCTCAGAATCAGAAGAACAGTAAACTCCCTTCGGGACAAGGGAGAGGAGCTTTCTCTGGTCCTTACATAGTTCCAACTCTGGGTCCCCACCCTCTGCAATGACCATCAGGGTCGCTCCAGAGCCACCCCCCAAACACACACACACACACACACACACACACACACACATTCACATACACACACAAATTGGAATAGATAAGCAGAGAACAACAAGGAAAGATTGGTCAGCATGGACTCACACATACCTTACTAGGTAGAACACAAAGAACAAGTACTCCTCACCAAGGTATGAAAGATTTCTCTGCACACCCCTCCTAAAACTGTTTTGCACCTCAATTGTGAAAATGTCATTGAAATAGTCACAGGATGTTGTTAAGAACTTACATGTAATTTTAACATATTGTTTACTCAACACTATGTCAATTAATTCCATAACGTTATATATTGTTGCTGATGGGGCTTTTAATTGATTGGGATTTTACTCTTTTGGCCCTACCTTCAGACCAGAGAAGGTCTCCCCAAGAAGCCGTTGAACTTATCTGGACAATAAGATGCTGGACTCTATGCTTGGTATATGCTTACAATGAAGGAATCTCAACTGAACTTGAACTGTGGTTACACAACAAGGTGGAGGAATCCACCATAGGGGGAGGGTTAGGGGAGGGGTAGGGGAATCCCAGTACCTATAGAACTATGTCTCATAATACAATGTAACCAATAAAGAAAAAAAAAGCATAATAAGAGAGAGAGGGGGAGAGAGAGAGAGAGAAACCACAGAGTTTTCCGTTCATTGGCTCACTCCCCAAATGCCTGCAAAGAGCCAAGACTGAGCCAGACCAGGCAGCAGCAGAAACTCCCCCAGGGTCTTCTACGTGGGGGACTTGGCTTCACCTGCTACTTTCCCAGGCACATCAGCAGCAAGCTGGCTTGGAAACAGACCCGTGGAAACTCAAGCCAGTGCCCTAACACGGATGAGTGTGTGTTGGTATTGTAAGGAATGGCTTCATCTCCTGCACCACAACACTGGCCCCAGTTTTTCAACTTTAATCCATGGTTTCCAAAAAACCAAATTTGGTTTTCCACCTAATCCTTCAGCTTTTATCATTTCAATGTCCTTCTTTTAGAGGGATTAACTTGCTGCTGTTTGTCAAATTTCTTGATAAAGATGTGTCAAGAGTGATTTTTAGTATTCTTTTTTTTTTTTTTTTTAGAGATTTATTTTATTTTTATTGGAAGGTCAGATATACAGAGAGAAGGAGAGACAGAAAAATCTTCTGTCCATGATTCACTCCAGCCACAATGCTGGAGCCGTGCCAATCTGAAGCCAGGAGCCTCTTCCAGGAGGAAGAGCCAGCCTCTTCCCAAGCGGGTGCAGCATCCCAAACTTTGGGCCAGCCTTGACTGCTTCCCCAGGCCACAAGCAGGGAGCTGGATGGGAAGTGGGGCCGTCAGGATTGGAATCGGCTGTCACACAGGATCCCGGCACATAATAAGACGAGCACTTTAACCACTAGGCTACCATGCCAGGCCCGTGATTTTTACTTTTCTTCATGAATGCACTCGAGGCTCTGAAGCTCCACCCGGCCACTGGGCTGGCTGTCTCCACAACTTCTGCTCCGACACTGTCATCATCATTCAGATATTAATGTATTCTGATCCCCAGTGTGACCCATGGATTACTCATTAACTGTGTCATTTAGTTTCCAAACATTCAGTATTTCTTGTCTTCCTTTTCTAGTTTCGCTTGGGAATAGTGTCTCTGTGAGGTTTTTGATTTTTCACACTTTGCTAGGTTTTCCCTGTGGCCCGGCATCATCTGTTTGGACATGTATCTATGTGTACTTAGCACTATGCATTCTCTAATGTTGTGGTGTAGCATTCTGTCTACACCAAATGGGTCAAGTTGCTTAGTTCAAATGTCTACATTGTTACCGATTTTCCCATCTGTTCTACTTACTGAGAAAAAGACACCTATATCTCTTCAGTGGGGATTGTAGATGTGCCCATTTCTGCTTTTAGATCTGCCCTTTCATACAGTTTAAGTCTTTGAGTGAAAGTTCAATTTGCAAGGGTTGGAAACGTATTCAAATCTGTTTTCCTGAAATCTCCAAATACACATGAAGAAACCCAATCTGGTCTTGGATGCTTGGCCCAGTCCCTTCCCATTTCACCACCCCTGGGGTGTGGCGGGATTGCCAACACTGGCCTAGAGGCCCTCACTGGACACTCCTTCCTGGGATGGGCCAAGTGCACAGGTGCATCTGGCAAAGCCAATGGCTCCTCCACCACGCTCCTCCCACTGCACTTGCCCCCCGATTCCCCACCTGAGGGCAGCTCACCTTGCATGCCCGATGGCCCGAAGTCCTGCCGAGTGAGGAAAATGGCATGATCGTGGTACTCGTCGTGGTCTGTGTCTGGCTTCTGCTGCAGGTAGGCCCAGCGGCAGACATTCTCCAGGCTCTGGGAAGGGTTCCCGATCTCGATGAGGCTCATGGACTGCAGGGAAAGGGGAAGGAGAGAGGAGGGAATGGTGTGGCCACTGGGGTTGGAGAGACAAGGCTCTCTGTCCTGGCTCTAGCAGCTCAGGACAGGCCTCCCGCTGGGCTGCACTCTCCTGAATAAGGAGGGGTTTCCCAGCACCTTCACAGGAAGTCCCTGCTGGGTTCTCAGGGAAGACACTGAGCCCAAACTCCTAAGCTGATTCACACAGTCCCTTCACCTTTCTCCAGGTACAGGAGGGCCGCTGTATCAGACCCCTGTACTGAGTGGGCCCTAGGTAGGATGTAGGTGCAGGGGAACCAGAAGGCCCAGTCAGACCTGCAAGCCTGGAGGAAGGGGGTGAAGGCCTTGCCTCACCTCCATTTAAAGGCATTTACAAGGCACAAAACAAACATGATAAAAAGGAGCTACACATGACAGAACCACGGGCCGGCCGTGTAAGGGTCAAGGCCATAAACTAGTGATTCCCACAGGGACCACAAATAGGAAGCCCCTGAGACAGTCCCACACAGGTGGCTGAGGCTGGCCATGGACTCCTCCCCCATTCCCAGGCCTGTGCACCTGCCCTGCACAGTGGAGCACTGGCCCACACTCTCATTCAGCTCGCACTTACGTGAGAGACAGGCAGCCGAGGCTCAGACAAGTAGCTTGTTTCGGGGCGTACAGACAGGGAGAAACTGAACTAAGAACCAGGATGCCAGAAACCCAACTCTTCCTCTGTCCACTGTCTGAAACACTCTCTAGAGCACATGCCAGGCTGTCTCAGAAGGGAGGAGGTGCTTCTCCATCCCAGGTATTTTGATTTCTGCTCTTATCGCCTGTCCCCAATCAGCTTGTTCACTCCCCAAATGGCAGCAGCAGGGACGCCAGCTGGGTCTCCGACACGAGCAGGGGAGCTGTGCTGTGCTAATTCCCCGGGTCCTCAATGGGAGGAAGCTGTAGCTGGGAGCCAGACGCAGGAAACCAACCTAGGTGCCCTGATATGGGATGTAGGTATCTTAATCACTAGGCCAGACATCTGCCCCAGCATCTTTTAACTCCATTTGCTCATCTATTTTTTTTTCAAGTTTTACTTATTTTTATTGCAAAGTCAGATATACAGAGAGGAGGAGAGACAGAGGAGAAGATCTTCCATCCGATGATTCACTCCCCAAGTGACCATAAGAGCTAGAGCTATGCTGACCCAAAGCCAGGAGCCTGGAGTTCCTTCTGGGTCTCTCACGTGAGTGCAGGGTCCCAAGGCTTTGGCCCATCCTTGACTGCTTTCCCAGGCCACAAGCAGGGAGCTGAATGGGAAGTAGGGCTACCAGGATTAGAAATGGCACCCATATGGGATTCTGGTGCGTTTAAGGTGAGAACTTTAGCCGCTAGGCCACCACACTGGTCCCTCACCCATTTTTTTTTAAAAAAGTCTGCTCTTATATCAGCACAAAGCAAAATCTGCCCTCCACATCTGCAGATTCAGCCAGGTGCAAACTGAAAATAGTTTCATCTGTACACGATGGGGGCGGGACAGGAGAGTGAGGCAGGTAAGTCACATCTTGAAATAGACTCCAGAGCAAGGGAGGGCCAGGCCTGCCCTGTTTCTAACACCCCTCTGGCCTCTTGTGAGAACTGGCAGCAACCATGACAATCTACTGAATCTCTCCCGTGGACCATCGCCAAGAACCTTGCCACAAGGGCCATCACCACCTCCTGAGACTCCCAACACCCAAAGTCTCGGGCAACAACCACATCTGAGCCATAGCAGCAGTCAGGTCAGACACTGGCAGTGCCCAGGTCAGAGGGAAATTCATTCCCTTAATCCTCACCCAAGTACCTGCATCCAGCCAAGCCTGAAGCCTGCCCAGCATGCCGCTGCTGCGGGACACAGGTCAGCATTCAGACTTACACATATGGCCATGAGCAGGACCCAGGGCTCCTCGCCAGGTCAGGCAAGTGGGACTGTCCCATGCGGCCATCTGCTTCCCAACACAATAGACCAGGGAGACAGTGAGAGGTCTCACATTCAAGACAAAAGCCACAATTTTGTAACCTAATCTCAATTGGTTCAAACCCAGGGATGGGGAGCCTTCCAGGCCACAAGCTCCCAAAAGTAGGGCTACCAAGACTGCCTTAAAGACTGCCTGAGACTTGAATGAGACGGGTCTCATTCAAGAAGTTCCTGTGACTGGCATGGGGGTACAATGTGTTAATGCATGACTTGTAAATGTTGGCATCCTATAGTGGAGCTCAAGACCCAACAGCTCCACTTCTGATCCAGCTCCCTGCTAATGTGTGGGGAAAGCAGTGGAAGATGGTCTAAGTACTTGGGCCCCTGGCAATCACCCACATTGGAAACCCAGATGAAATTCCAGGCCTGCGTTTGGTTTGGCCCAGCCTCAGTCACTGCAACCATTTGGGCAGGGAGCCAGCGAACTGAGGATTTCTCTCTCTCTCTCTTTGTAACTCTACCTTTCAAATAAATATACTAAATATTTTTAGAAATCTCTCTTGTGACAAGAGGTGGTTGTGAGTTCTGTTGTTATTCCTTGTGGATATGAGAGCAGAGCCATGTACTTCCTCCTTTGTAGAGACCAGGGGTCCCCAGCCAAGGGACCAGCTTTGATGTCCCACTCCAAGAAAGGACAACTCTGGCTACACACTCCAACATCAGGCCCAACAGGCAGGGGATGCAGCCAAAGGCAGAGCCAGGCACAAGGGGAGGTGATGCCAGCAGGCTAGGGCCAAGCAGAAGCTTCATCCACTGTGGATGAGCTTCCTGTGGACCTGGGAAGAAGTTGCAGGCTGGATGTGAGGAGATGGAAGCCCTATACCTGCCCAGGTGTGCTGGCAGGAGCCTGAGGAGTCCTCCCCGTGGGATAAGGAAGGGCAGCACCAGGCAGCAGTGAGGGCTGTAGCAAGCCATGGACGCTGTCAGTGTCTACCATCATTCTGTACAGTGGTAAGTCTGTTCTGCATAGCTCAGATGAGGCTCCCTGCCTCCTACATGTCTCCTAGCACCTCCTCCCTGGAGACCAAGGTTACCTCACAGGAAACTGCAAAACAGGGCCAGCAACAACCCATCAGCAACCACAAAGGGCAGGTCCAGCCAGCCGTTAACTCTGGGTCTATACTAACAATCCTACTCAACAGCAAATGTTGGCTCTGACCAAAATTTACTCTGTGGACAGAACAAAATCCACAGCTGGCCCTGACCCCTGGCTGTATCCTCCATCCTCCTCGAAGCTGTGTTTTAGCTGTTTGCTACAGCCTTACAGTGCCACAGGGTACAGGTTTCAGAAACCCCTGCAGATACAACAATCTACAATGTTCAAGTCCCTCATTAGAAATGTTGCTTTTGCTGCCAGTGTCATGGCATAGTGGGTAAAATTACCTCCCATGGTGTGTGATCCCATATGGAAGGCGGTAAATGTCCCAGCTGCTCCACTTATGACCTAGCTTCCTGCTAATGGCACCAAGAGAACCAACAGAGGATGACCCAAGTGCTTAGGCACCAGCACCCATGGGGGAGACCTAGAGAAAGCTCTTTGCTTCAACCTGACCCAGAGCTGTCTCTTGGGGCCATTTAAAGGATCAACCAGTGAAGAAAAAGCGCTCTCTCTTTCTCTCTCTGTAACTCTGGCTTTCAAGCGGAGTTGAGTGGGGCCAGAATTGAGAGTTGTTCTGATAGAGCAGTGATGGGTGGCAGCATTACTGTGGAGAAGGTGCAGGACGAGGGTGGGTGATCGGTAAGGGTGGCGTTGGAGCCATAGCACCTAGGGGCCACTGTGATGGGGTCGTCTTTGCTATACAGATCTTAGCTTGGCAAGAGGCTGGCAGCTTTGCTTTGGGCAGCTCTGCCGCTTCTTAGGGCACAACCCTCAGAGGTCATCAGTCCAGGTTCACTGTCCCAAGGCCTAGGGCGGCCTGGTTCCTAAGACCTGACACTGGATGATCTTTTTCTGCCTCTTGCGTTGGGCCTGTCCTGCATCCCGTTGCTCCTCCCAATTCTGGGGAGCTGCTGATGCTGGCTGTGTGCTTGCTCGGGATGCCAAGGTCCTCCCAGGGACAGCAGTCCAGGGCGAGCCACCTCGGGACAGCTGGGGCATATAATGGAGGTCTGGCTGGTTGTGGACAGGAAAAGCACTAGAGAAGAAAAATTTTAATTCCATTTTCTATTTCTTTAGAATTTCACTTAGAGAGGTAAGAGTGTATGCAAAAAGAGCACCCCATCTGCTGGTTCATTCACCAAATGTTGGCTACTGCTGGGGCTGGGCTGGCCTGGAGCCCGGAGCACAGTCCAGGTCTCCACGTGGGTGGCAGGGCCTAGCCACATGAGGTGCCACCTGCTGCCTTCTGGCATGTGCATCAGCAGGAAACTGGAGCCAGAACTTGCACCCTGGCACTCTGATGTAAGCTGTGGGAGTCTTCATTGGCAATCTTCTCACCAGTCAAAGGTTGGTCCCTCACCAGTGTTCTGCAGTAGCCTCATAATACGTTTTCCTCTCCCTATGTGTCTGTGATGACTTCCCCTTTTCATGTAGAGCTTGTCGGCTTCTCTCTGCCACCTCTGAGCTATCTCTTTGTCGCTCTCGTGCTCTTGCCCTTTAGGGCCACTGTTAAGTAAGACGGTGATAACTGGAGGGTAAGCACAGGGGTACGACAACATCTGAGCTGGTGCAGGCGGCTCCTGAGTGGCTAAGGGTGGCTAGCACTCAGCCGGGACACGCTGTCAGAAGGCTGCTTTGTGACCTGGGAGAGGCAACACACAGCTACTGTGAGATGCCACCACCCGGCAGAGCGGCGCAGAGCTTGTTTGCAATTTCCCATCCCCTGTTTCCAGCTTTCAGTTGACCACGCATGATTGCATCCTTGGAAAGCAAATCTAGCACGTGAGAGAAGTGTCGCCTTGCTCTCATCACGCCTGCCTTCTGAAGTGGCAGCCTGTGAGAGGTGCCTGCTGGGCTGGCGCATCGGGCCAGCAGCCATCCCTGCCCCAAGGGCATCTGACTCCAGGCTGCCCACTTGACTTCAGCAGTGTGTGCCTGTGGATTCCACCTGCTCTCAGCTTCGCTGGCTTGGGGCAGAGGGGGTGATCAGGGGTGAGCCCCAAGCCACTCCAGGTGTTCACAGTCCAGCAGCCCTTTCCCGGAGGGAGCCTTGGGCACCCACCATTCAGTAAACAGTGGGAGGTAGGCGGCTCCTCACTCTGGGATCCGTTTCCTGAGTGCCCGAGGATCTCTAAGTCCTGGGGTTGGGGTGGGGCAGACATGAACACGGCAGAAGCTCCCAGAACCCAGCCCTAGCATGGCGACTCCAGAGGGCCCAGCAGCCTGCAGTGCAGGAGCATCCCTGTGGACTGACCCTCCCCCCGCCGCCTTCTCTGCCACACCCACTGTGTCTGGGGTCACAAGAACAGCCAGCTTCCCAGCAGGCTTTGTGGGGCCCTCCAAGGGGGGCCCAGGGACACAGGTTTGTTCCCTCTCCCTGCTCTGCACCAATGTGGACTTCGCTGGTACCCCAGTGACTCTGCCACCCAAAACTCTTGACTAGAAGTCACATTTCATTTCCTGGCTCTACTGCCAGGCTTGCTTGGAGCCCAGGATCCTGCCAGGTGCAGGAGGGCCTCCCTCAGGGGGTCCTTGTTAACCGCACCAGGGGCCTGGCTGGCGGTCACTGCTCACTACCTGCTCAGCCCAAGACTGGCTACAAGGCTGTTTGGGGCTCCCAATCCACTCCCCTTAGAGTCACTAACCCCTTGCTTTTGGGTCGGGAGAGACTCCACAGAACTCTGCAGAGCTGGCAGGAATCAGGGCTAGAGTGACTCCAGTGGGCCCAGGTGGCAAAGTGGTTCCTGTCTAGCTTTAAGGCCCCAGTGGTCCTGGCCATGACTTGCACCCTCACTCCCATATTCTGGGTGAGGTCCCCTGGCCACACGGTGTACCAAGGTCGACAGGGCTTTCCTCCTTGCTGGCTTCTCTCAATTGGCTGAACCTCCTGAAGAGTAAAGGGGCAATTTGGGCCTGGGTCTGTCTCTCAGGCCTGCTCCACCCTTACATTCATTTTAGCCCCTCTTCATCCATCCATCCCACAAACAGTGAGCAATCCCTCAGGGCATAGAGGCTGCAGTAGCGAATGAAGCCACCACTGTCTGTGCCTGCTCACAGAAGAAATGAATGAATGAATGAATAAATAGATGCACATTCTGCAGCCAGGCAGGGAAAAAGATGTACAAGGTTTAGGGCCCAGCAGGTAGCAGGGGGATGGAGGAGCGGGTCTCTAGGGAAAGGAACTAACTCCAGGAGTGGCAGTCGCTAACTCCATGTGCCATCCATGGGCTCTGGTGTTGCGAGTGCATGCCTTCTTTCAACTCTACAGTCACCAGAGGCTCCAGGGGCTGCAAGCATCCAACTTTTGAGAAGAAGATTCGTGACTACTGAGGCCACTGCAATAACTCACCCAGAGCCGCACAGCTGGGCAGAGGAATCCCCTGGAACTACACAGCATCCGAGGAGGACAGAGCTCCACAAAGCCACCAGGTGGTGCTGTCTGCACAAAAATGACACCACTGGCAGCATGACTTGGCCAGGGGCACTTCCCAATGCTGGGGCTGGATTTGCAGCTGCCATGGGACACCTGTGCTCCAGGACCTTGTTCTTCACGAGCCAGTTCCAATGGGCAGCCCGAGGCAAGGAATCCCCAGAATGGCAGCCAGCCCTGGTTGGCTGGATGTCCGTGAGTCCCCCACGCCACACTCCTGCTGAACCAGGGTCATGGCAGGTGACAGATGAAGCTCACCTGGGCAGTAACAGGGCCCTGTCATTGGAGGTCTGGTCCAAGGTGTTCATCTGCTCTGTATTCCTGCAAAAGTGAGCTCTATATCCTGCACAACTCATCTGAAAAATGGGCACAGCCCAGTGCTGAGCCTAGAGCATGTGGCTGTCCCTTGCATGCCATGTGATGGTGATGAAGACACAGATGACCCTAATCCCACCGACAGCTCTCGGGATGTCCCTGGCTCAGAATGTGGCTCCCATGTCAGGCCAGCCTTAACTCAGGCAGGAACAGAACGGCACCTGATTACCACAGAGAGCCTCCTCTCGGGCTCAGCACTGCTGACATGGGGGCAGGCCATTCTCTGGGCTGGGGAGCAACCTCCTTGGTCTCTAGGTGCTAGCAGCCAGCCAGCAGCACCCCTGAGAGGTCAAATGTGCCCTAGGAGGGCTTGGGGCGGGAGGCACATCGGGGCAGGGCAGGAGGAGGTGAGGGGTGTGAAGGCAGGTGCAACAAAGCAGCTCCTCCATCGTGCCATCTTGGGCAGGCAGCTGCCCTCTGGAGCCTATATTTTTGCTGCCCGGGGAGGAGGGATGAGAGTTATGACACAGAAGCTTCTCCTTCCAGGACCCCTGCAGGAGACCCCCGAAACCCAGCAGCACATCAGACCCAGTAGAAGTCAGGGCACTTCAAAAGGTTCTTTCACAGGAGTGGAATGTAAGGTCATTTTGCTGCAGAACACTTTGAAATCCATGCACAGAGGAATCTTCAAGGAGCCTGGGGTACCCAGGACTTTGCACAGTAGGCGGTTCCTATCTGCTAGCCCGCCCATGCTCTGGCCTCCTGGCGAGCACCAGCTGCCCCATGGCCCCTCATGACACTGCACATCCTTCCTCCAACATTCATGTCCCCTAGAGGGCGGTTGTGTCCACACATGGCCTCAGCATCCCGAGGGGCAGAGGCTGTGGCATTCATGCTCCGGGTATTCACTCACCTTCCCACAGCTCAGCAGGATGATCCGCACCAGCACCACGTTGATGTGGGCCCCCAAAGACTCATCGTGGTAGATTTCATTGACCTGAAAGACAAGCAGCTTGTGGTCAGCAGTGCCCCGCGAGCATTGCCCTTCTGGGACCACCCCTTATATCTCCTTCCATACACCCCTCTCCTGCTTGCTGCCCTGGATGTCCCCAGAGTCACTCTCAGGCCCAGCCCCTGGAATTCTTCACCCGGAGCAAAAGCCTAGACAAGGAATCAATCCCTGTATTGGCTGTTTGAATTGCATCTTTCCTTCAAAACCTGGCAGCCCAGGTGGTGTGGCCCCGCCCCCAGCAGACAACACTGCATGGCTACTGCTGTTGGCAGCTGTGGTGTCCCCACTTGGGTGGGGACAGAGCCTCTGCCAGGTCTTAGTGTCTCCTGAGTTACTAAGGACAGACATCCCAGGCAACACCATCACCCCTGGGTGTCTACGGTTGAGAGGGCTCCCAGAATCCAAATCCACCAACACTCACATTACATATAAAATGTATGTGTTCTTTGCATGAAACCCACATACTTCATTTATTTTCTTTTTAAGATTGATTTATTTATTGGAAAGTCAGATATACAGAAAGGAGGAGAGACAGAGAGGAAGATCTTCTGTCTGATGATCCACTCCCCAAGTGAGTGCAAAGGCCGATGCTATGCCAATCTGAAGCCAGGATCCAGGAACTTCTTCTGGGTATCCCACATAGGTGCAAGATCCCAAGGCTTTGGGCCATCCTCAACTGCCTTCCCAGGACACGAGCAGAGAGCTGGATGGGAAGTGGAGCTGCCGGGATTAGAACCGGCACCCATATGGGATCCTGGGGCGTTCAAGGCTAGGACTTTAGCTGCTAGACCACGCCGCCGGGACCCATCTATTTTTTTTTTAAGAGTTATTTATTTTTCTATGTGAGGCAGAGTTAGAGAGAAGGAAAGACAGAGATCTCTCAACTGATGGTTGACTCCCTAAATGGCTGTAATGGCTGGAGCTGGGCTGGTCCAAGCTGGCAGTCAGTAGCCCCCTTATGGGTCTCCCAGGCAGGTGCAGGGGCCAAGGACTTGAACCATCCTCTGTTGCTTTCCCAGGTGCATTAACAGGAAGCTGGGTCAGAAGTGGAACAGCTAAACTGGAGTCCATACGGGATGCTGGCACTGCAGGCAGAGGCTTAACCTGATTTGCCATGGCACCAGTCCCCACCCTAAACTTTAAATCCAGCTCCAGAATGACTAGCAATACCTGCTACAATGGCCTGGGCAACCTGTAGGTAACTGCTGTGCTGTATTGTATCATCAAGGGAATGAGGACAAAGCAAAGGTCTGTACAAAATGTGCAGTTCAGAGGCAACTGTTCTGAACTCATTTTTTTTAGGGGCCAGTGCTGTGGCATAGTAAAGCAAGCCTCTGCCTGTGGCACCGGCATCCTGTATTGACACCAGCTCCGCTTCCAATGCAGCTACCTGCTTATGGCCTGGGAAAGCAATAAAGCATGACCCAAGTCCGTGGGCCCCTGCATCCATATGGGAGACCCAGAAGACGCTCCTGGCTCCTAATCAGCTCAGCTCAGCTCTGGCCACTGCAGTCATGTAAAGAGTAAACCAGCAAATGGAATACCTCTCTCTGTCTGTCCTTCTTTCTATGTAATTCTGCTTTCCAAATAAAAATAAACTTTTTTTTTTTTATTGTTGCTTACACTGTATTATGTAGTACAGTTTTATAGGCGCTGGGGATTCCCCCCACCCCTCCCCCCCACCCCTCCCCCCATGGTGGATTCCTCCACCCTGCTGCATAACCATAGTTCAAGTTCAGTTGAGATTCATTGCTTGCAAACACATGCCTAGCATAAAGTTCAGCGTCTTATTGTCCAGATAAGTTCAGTGGCCTCCTGGGGAGACCTTCTATGGTCCGAAGATAGGTCTAACAGAGTAAAGATCCGGTAGGTTAAAAGCCCCAACAAGGCCTCAGTATCAATATACAACATTATGGAATTAATTGACATAGTACTGGGTAAACAATATGTTAAAAATAACGCAAGTTCCATTCTTCGAAACATCTGGGTTGAGACAGCATCAATGACACGTTCAAAAAATAACAAACAACCAAACAATAAATTACAGGTTAAATCAAGGCAAACATGTGGTATCTAATCTTCTGGGATTCGCTCATTCCCCCTAGCATTATAGTTTCCAATTGTGCCCATTTAGCCACAAAGAACTGCATTTTGTTTTTTTTAATAGCTGAGTAGTATTCCATGGAGTAGATGAACCAAAGCTTTCTTATCCAATCTTCTATTGATGGGCATCTCGGTTGCTTCCATGCTTCTGCAATTACTGACTGGGTTTATTTAATTCTGCAGTTGCCTCCGGACTGAGTTTTGGTAAATGGTGGGAGTCCAAGAACTTTTCTATTTCTAAACCCATAACCGAGGTAGAGATTGAAACAGTCATCAAGGATCTCCCAACGAAAAAAAGCCCAGGCCCAGACGGCTTCACTACAGAATTCTACAAAACATTCCGAACAGAACTAACCCCAATCCTCTACAAGCTCTTCAAAACAATAGAGGAGGAAGCAACCCTCCCAAACTCATTCTATGAAGCCAACATCACCTTAATCCCAAAACCGGATAGAGAACCATCAGAGAAGGAAAACTACAGACCTATTTCTCTGATGAACATTGATGCTAAAATTCTCAACAAAATCCTAGCCAATAGAATTCAAAAAATCATCAGACAGATCATTCATCCGGATCAAGTAGGATTCATCCCTGGAAGGCAGGGATGGTTCAACATTCGGAAATCCATAAATGTTATAAACCATATCCAAAAACTGCAAAACAAGAACCACATAATAGTTTCAATAGATGCAGAAAAAGCTTTCGACAAAATCCAACACCTCTTCATGCTAAAAACTCTAGCCAAAGTAGGCATAGATGGGAAAATCCACAACATAATTAAAGCAATTTATGAAAAACCCAACGCCAGTATCATACTGAATGGAGAAAAGCTAGAACCCTTCCCACTGAGATCTGGAACAAGACAAGGGTGCCCACTATCACCACTGCTATTCAACATAGTCCTAGAGGTACTTGCAGAGGCCATAAGACAAGAAAAAGAAACCAAAGGCATACGTATAGGAAACGAAGAAGTCAAGCTTTCACTATATGCAGATGACATAATCCTATACATAGAAAAACCAGGAGACTCAATACAGAAACTGCTAGAACTTATACGAGAGTTTGGCAGAGTGGCGGGGTACAAAATTAACGAACGAAAATCAACAGCCATAGTGTACGCAAACAACACCAAGATGGAAGAAGATCTAACCAACAGGATACCATTCAAAATAGCAGAGAGAAGTATGAAGTATTTGGGAATAAATCTAACCAAAAGTGTAGGAGACCTATTTGAAGAAAACTACAAACTATTTAAAAAGGAAATTGAACAAAACCTCAAAAGATGGAATAACATCCCGTGCTCCTGGATAGGCAAAATCAATATCATTAAAATGTCTATACTATCACAAGCAATATACATTTTCAACGCAATTCCAATCAAATTGCCCAAAACATTCTTCATGGAACTGGATACAATGATTCAAAAGTTCATCTGGAAACACAAAAAACCACGAATAGCTAGAACCATCCTGAAAAATAAGAAGTTAGCAGGGGGAATCACAATCCCGGACCTCTGGACATACTATAGAGCAGTGGTTATCAAAACAGCCTGGTACTGGCACAAAGACAGAAAGGAAGATCAATGGAATAGAATAGAAGCACCAAAAGGGAACCCACACAGATACAGCCAATTAATCTTTGACAAAAAGACCAATGACAGCTTAAGCAAGTGGGAAGGCCTCTTTAGTAAATGTTGTTGGGACAACTGGCTGATAGCCTGTAGAAACAAAAAGATAGACCCACATCTATCACCATACACTAAGATCCAATCTACATGGATAAAAGACCTAAGCCTACATCCAGAAACCTTCAAACTCTTGCAAGAAAATGTAGGAAATACCCTGCAAGACCTAGGAGTAGGTACCGACTTTCTAAGAAGGACACCAAAAGCAATAGCAGTTGAGAACAGAATAAACAAATGGGACCTCATCAAACTAAGAAGCTTCTGTACAGCAAGGGAAACCATCAACAAAGTAAAAAAGCAACCCACAGAGTGGGAGAAGATCTTTGCACACGATATAGGCGATAGGGGGCTAATTTCCAGGATATACAAAGAACTTCAAAACAACCAAAAAACCAAAACAAACAAGCCACTCAAGAAATGGGCACGGGAAATGGGCAAACATTTCACAAAGGAACAAGTCCAAATGGCAAACAAACATATGAAAAAATGTTCCAGCTCCCTAGCAATAAGGGAAATCCAAATTAAAACATCGATGAGGTACCACCTAACACCAGTAAGATTGGCCCACATAAACAAGAACACCAACGACGCTTGCTGGCGAGGATGCGGGGAAAAGGGAACCCTACTCCACTGCTGGTGGAGCTGCAAATTGGTACAGCCTTTATGGAAATCAGTCTGGAGAACACTCAAACAACTCAAAATCTGCATACCATATTACCCAGCAATAGCACTCCTAGGAATATACCCAAAACACCTGTTTTACGACAAACCAACATGCATCCCTATGTTCATTGCAGCACAATCAGTAATTGCGAAAACATGGAAGCAACTGAAATGCCCATCAGCAGAAGATTGGATAAGAAAGCTTTGGTTCATCTACTCCATGGAATACTACTCAGCTATTAAAAAAAACAAAATGCAGTTCTTTGTGGCTAAATGGGCCCAACTGGAAACTATAATGCTAAGGGAAATGAGCGAATCCCAAAAGATTAGATACCACATGTTTGCCTTGATTTAACCTGTAATTTTTTGTTTGGTTGTTTGTTATTTTTTGAACCTGTCATTGATACTGTCTCAACCCAGATGTTTCGAAGAATGGAACTTGCATTATTTTTAACATATTGTTTACCCAGTACTATGTCAATTAATTCCATAATGTTGTATAATGATACTGAGGCCTTGTTGGGGCTTTTAACTGACTGGATCTTTACTCTATTAGACCTATCTTCAGACCATAGAAGGTCTCCCCAAGAGGCCACTGAACTTATCTGGACAATAAGACGCTGAACTTTATGCTAGGCATGTGTTTGCAAGCAATGAATCTCAACTGAACTTGAACTATGGTTATGCAGCAGGGTGGAGGAATCCACCATGGGGGGGGGGGTGGGGGGGGGGTGGGGGGGATCCCCAGCGCCTATAAAACTGTACTACATAATATAATGTAAGCAACAATAAAAAAAAAAATACACACAAAAAATACATACATACATATACACCCTGGAACAAATTTAAGGATGAAAAGAGATTTGCAACGAAAATTAAGAAAACACTGAAGAAAAACCTGAAGATACCCAACAACAAAATGAAAACAATGCCAAAGAAAGAAAGAAAGAAAGGAAGGAAGGAAGGGAAAATCCGTGTATAATCACTCTGTCCCAGGGTCTGCACTGGCAGCAAGTCTGACTCAAGAGATGAAGCCAGCATGCAAACAGTCACTCTGATGTAGGAAGGGAGGTCACTATGTTAGCCACCATGCTAAGTGCTGGCTCCCTAAATCGCATTTTTTTTAATGGTGATGTTTACAGGGTTGATTGGGGGTGGGAAGGATTGAGGGTTAGGGGAAAGTGGGTGAGATCATTGTTTGCAAGTTTCCTTTTCTTCCTCCTGTCTCTGGGGGCAAGGGAGGAGATGAGAAGAGAAGCTGCACTCAGCCTTCCAACTGCCTCAGTACCTGGGGTGGGGAATGGCCACCCAATATCATACCAGGGTCCCAATGGGAAGTATGCTCTGAAGGTTGTGCTCAAGTGGTTTCAATAGTTTTGAAATGCTGTTAGTTTTGTTGCCTCAAGGATGAGGAAATCCATCCAAGGACCACTGGCTGACACAGTCCACCTTAGAGTTTCCATTCGCCCAGATATATGCTGTCAACACTTGGCTGGGCTAGTTGTCCAGTTTGTTTCACCCTCCTTCCTCTGCTGTGGTAGCAGATGTCCACTGCACTTCCCAGTGGACTGGCATATCCTCCATGTGTATCTGGGTATGCCATCCACTACTCTGCCTTAGCTATTGTGGAGGCCCACTTCTGATACTTGCACTCCACAGTCAGTCCACTGGTCCTAGGATTCAACACACGGTTGGAATTCGGAGTGCAGTGGTTCAGTTGGGTGAATCCCACAGAAACTTCGTCTCTGCTGAACCCAGGCCTGACTCTTGTGTGTGCTTGCCAGTACAGGGTCTGGCTTAGTCTGACAACACATCAGGCTGCGCTGGGTCAGTTCTGTGTCAAGCCCATCTCTTACACAACCAAATGGATGCTTCAGTCCAGCCCAACCCAGCCCACTACACATTTGATCCTCAAACATACCAGCAGGAACTGTAGCCTAGTCAGAGTGACCCCCCAAAACAACCATCAATGTAATTCTCAGTATGTGCAGCAGACTGCTCCTGTCTGACACCATCCCATTCAGCTCTTGTATACATCAATGGGCCTTTTAGCCTAGTTCAACCCAACAAACACTGTTATCAGCCCACATTCATTCCAGTAGATGCCACTGCTTGGCCAGACAGTCCCACCTGCAGCCCTGCTTCTCATGCTTACCCGTGGGAGTCACAGCTCATTAGAGAGGAGCCCACAGTTTCCCTACTGGGAGATCTTGCACTCTCCTCGTGGTTCTGCAGTCTAGCTTGACAGGAGTTGCCCCTAGTCCCAGCATTTGCCAGCCCTGACGCTGTGGCAAAGCCTGGGCAGCCTGCACTACTTCTGACTCATGCATGCACAGTGTTTATAGTCACCCAGCCTTGCTGCCTTTCCCAGCTCACATGCAGCCCTATGGGTATTGGTCTGGCCTGGTCTGCCCTCAGTCCCAGTTCTCACTTCCACCAGTACAAACCCCTGCTGCTACTCTATCATGCTTACCCACCTCTCCCTGGTCTCACATGTACTGGCGGGTGCGGCAGCCTGATATGGCATGGCCTGCCTCACCTTGGCATTTGTCACCTGATGCTGCAGCCTGACCTGGCATGTTTTGTGCCTAATTCCAGCTCATGCTGGTGGGAACTGCAGCCTAGCCTAGCCTAGCCAGCCCTCAGTCACAATCCTAAATGGGAACTGGCTGCTGTTACAGCCCAACTAGGCCTGTCCTGCACCCTGTCCTGGTTCTCAGATCTGCCAGTGGCTGACAAGAACGGGTCCAGCCTGGCCTGCCCCCATATCTGAGCCACAGGTATACTGGTGGGTACTGTAATCGGGCCTGGGCTGGGCTGCTCCCTGCCCTGGTTCTTGTGCTTACCTGCAGGGACTGTGTCCTGACGGAGATGTTCCCCAAGCTCCTCTATCAGGTCTCCTCCGAGTTCTTTCAGAAAAGCAGAAATTGCACCATCACACGTGTGTTCTCAAGTAGTCGGAGGTGTCCTGGCTTGAAGAAAAGATGAGACTTACAGTTAGATGATGATACATTAGGAGACCTTAAACCAACTTGAAACAGGAAAAAATTGACATAGTGGCAGACTATCCGTACTTCATGTATAATTAGATAAAAGCATAATATGCAACGGAGAAGTAAGGATAAGTTGACTTGAATTTGAAAAAGAAAATCTCAAGGAGTTACTTTGGGATGAAACCATCATCCTCACTGCTAATACTCTCCTTAGGGATCCACACAAATGAATCATTGCAACTCAGGAAATCCAAATGCATGGAGTATCTTAATGCAGCAATGAAAAACGTCCTCAGGTGAGACAAATTTAAACAACAACAAAAATCTTTCCAAAGCAGCTGGAAGATGGCCCCAGTGCTTGGGCCCCTACCACCCTCAAGGCAGACCCTGATGAAGTTCCTGACTTGGGCCTGGTCCAGCCCTGATCTTTGAGCCATTTGGGAACCACAGGGCAGCTGAAACATTTGTCTGTCTCTCCTGCTCTTCCTGCAATTTTTTTTTAATTATGTTACCTTTTTTTATTATTTTACAATATATTTCAAAGAATGACCTTACAGATGTCTTATCTGCTCTATAAGACCTGGAATAAAAGAACACTTAGAATTAGAACACAGAGACATTAAGCTGTAATACTCACTTGTACTGAACCATTACTACCAAAGGGTATTTTTTTTAAATAAGCAGATGTGTGGCTATGCAAAATAAAATACAAACTTGTTAAAAAAAGAACAGTAAACTTGACTTTAATAGCTATAGAAACGAGGTGGTTTTGTTTTCTTTCCTCAACACATCTGGTTCTGGCAGCAAGTCACATTATACATTTAAAGCAGTGTGAGCCCTGAAAGCTCATAGCTTCTGTTTGTGCGTATAACTTGGATCAGAGACCAGACACATGGAAAAGCACTGTTCTCAACACCCTCAACATCTCTCCTTCCAGGAGGTCACAAAGCTAACAAACTCAAGACTTTCCTTGCTGATGGTACTTAGTAATTATTTTACTCCAGTTAACACTGGATGTTTTAATATTCTCTAAAAGAGAAGTGATGAAAGCATGTAGAAACTCTCCAGGGTCCAATTTTCACTTCCCATTCCCCAAGTAGTAAAATAGCAGCTCTACATGTTATTAAAAAAAAACAGAGATAATTTAAATTTCTTATTCGTTTTTAACCATAGTAACTTTACAATGCTTTTAGATTTAGTTGAATTTCCAAAATCAAAATGTCAGTTGTCAAATATTTTAGGAATTTATTAAAGTATTACATACAATTGATTTCCTTTTAGCTACCCCTCCCCCTCAAAAAAGTATATATGGTGTATGTGTGTGCATTTACTTATCTTACCTTAACTGAAGTTCTCTTTTTCTGGTTGGACATGAGAAACCAGTTTAAGCAACCAATGCTTGCTTTTATTTCTATTATAAGCAATATTTCAGATCTTTTTTCACTAAATATGACTGCAGCATTTTCATAATAAAATGCACAAAAGGCAATACCAAAAAATGCCTTCTGAACAGGCTTCTGCCAGGCAACCCACGGAAGTTAGACTCTACCAAAGTGGCACTACGACAACATAGGCATCCAGTTTCTTTTCCTTTTTTCAAATTTGTCAGTTATTTACCACAATTATTTTGTCTAGTAGGAGACAATTTCATGCTGGACTTAACTCTTAAGAGTTGACATAAACCAAAACTGGACAGCAGTCAACTGGAATCACATTCCAGTGGTCCCCAAACATACTTGGCCAAAACACATCTTTTCTTTTCCTTGATTGATTTTGCATTAATTTTATTAAACGTATAGCAAATAACACTGTAAAGTTTTTCTCAGAGCTTTTTCTTAGGGGACTCTGCAATTCTTGCCAACAAGTACCTGGTGAACTTGTAGACAGCGCTGTTCCTGGCTCCCCAGCAGGTGGCGGCCCCGCGCCCTGGCCGCACGCCCGCTGCATCCCGCCGGCAGCACAGAGGCTCGCGCGGCCCGGGAGCGCTCGCCCCGCAGCTCGGGCGGCTGGCAGGCGGGCTGGCGCCGGTCGCGTCGGCCGGCAGCAGGGCCCATGTGGAAGCTCCTCCCGGCCGCGGGCTCAGCCCGAGGTAAGGACAGAGAGGGACAGAGGGCCCGGGTTCGGAGGAGCGCCAACGCGGGGAAGGAAGTCGGGGAGGGTCGCTTCCGGTCGGGTCCCCTTACCTTCCGGGGCACGGCGGAACGGGAAGGAAACCGGGGGTCTGGCACGCGCGTGGTGGTCCCGGCTGCGCCGTGGCGGGGAAGGCCGGCTGTCCTCGGCCCCGGGGTTGGGCGGGTGGACGCCGGGCCCTGTCCCGCGCTGTGCAGTGGCCGTGGGACCCCGGCGCTGTGCAGTGGGCATGGGCGGTGGGGCGGCTGGCCCTTCGCTGAGCCCTGGCTGAGGTGGCTGAGGAGAAACCGGTGCACGGAGCAGCTGTCTGTTGTTTCAGGCGCGTTTCCGTGCTGTCAGCAAGAGGGGACAGCCCAGACTTTTTTTTTTTGAAAGAGAGACCAGAATCTTGCATCTCCGAGTTCACTGGCCTAGATGTGTCCAACACTGGGGCTGGTCAGGCCCAAGCCAGGAACCCCGGGATGCAAGGGCCTCAGTTGCTGTCTGTCAGAGTGCGCCTTGGCGGTGCTGGGCTGGACCCCCTGCACAAACCTGGGATGCTGGTGTCCCAGGGGAGCTGCAGTAAAAGCCAGGCCACTTCACCCCGCCCCTTTCCTGTGTGTCTGCACTTCCCTAGTGGAAGTTGCTAGTTGCCTGCCTGCTGTTTGTGGGCGTTATTGGCTGATAAAAGGGTAAGCCGGGAAAGCCATGATTGCCTGTGTGCTCAGGGTGTTCACATTGTGATTAGGAAAAAAGGGTCTCCCAAGAGGCAGTGTTGACTGGCTATGTAAGGAGGATTAAAGAAAAAAAGAAAGATTTCTTTATTTCACTTGAATGAGAGCAGGAAAGACAGAGAAGTCCTCCATTCTTGGGATGGCCTCCATGGCCAGAGCTGGACCAGTGCAAAGCTGGCAGCTAGAAGCTTCCTCTCATTTCCCCTACAATGTGGATACACGGGTGCAGGAAGTTGGGTCATGCGCCACTGCTTTCCCAGCCAGAAGCAGGGAGCTGGATGGGAAGTGGAGCAGCTTGGGGTTGAACCAGTGTCCACATGCAATGCCAGCACTGCAAACTGAGAATTAATATGATCTGACCTCTGAAGGACTTTTGTAAATACCAATACAGGCATTCCTATGAACTTGCACCAGTTCAAGGCCAGACCGTAGAGATTTCAGTTTGTCTTGTGGCTCTCAGAGTTCCTGTGGATGTGTGGAAAGAAGACAGACCTGAGACAAATTGAGTTTGGCACAGCATACCTGAGGAAAGGCTTCATGAATCAAGGTGTGGCCCGAGCCAGTGGAGGTTGAGAGAGCAGTACCCAACAGTCCAGCAGACGGTAGGAGGTGACTTCCAAAACCAGCAGGATTGGTTAGTTGCAGCTCACTGTTGGCCTGGTCTGAGTGTGCAGTGAGAAGGCATTTGCCCTGCAGGACCTGGTCTGAGTAGCTGACAGGCTGAGACTTAGCCATCTGTTACGGGGATAGCACTGCTCAGACCAGGCAGACATTTGGCACTGTGTAGCAGGGCTAGCCTGGGAGTCCTGTTCAGCCTATCCCCAGCTGTTGGCTAAAGTGCACCCTTGGCCACAGCTCAGAGTTGAGTTACTGCCACCTGTGGGCAGACCTAGCTTGAGTCCAGGGCTCAGATACCCTGGATGTTTGGGCAGTGAGTCAGAACGCGTATCCCTGTCCCCCAAATAAGTAAAGTAAGGTAAAAATTTACAAACAAAGAATAGAGGCTGGTGTGATGGCTCAACTGGCTAATCCTCTACTGTTAGCACTGGCATCCCATATGGGCACTGGTCCTTATTCCAGCTGCTCCACTGCCCATCCAGCTCCCTGCTTGTGGCCTGGGAAAGCAGTCCAGGATGACCCAAAGCCTTGGGACCCTGCACTCAATATGAGAGACCTGGAAGAAGCTCCTGTCTCCTGGTCTCAGATCGGCACAGCTCTTTTGTTGTGGCCATTTGGGGAGTGAACTAATGGATGGAAGCTCCAGTCAAGTTCATATTGGGACTTTACTTGGGATTTCAGTAAATGTATACTTTGGGAAAGTATTAATTCCTTTCACTGTTGTTATTCCTTGAGAGAAGTGGTATGCCCTTGCATTAATGTAGGTGATCTTTTGATATTCCTCAATAAGGGTTTAATAGAAAATGGGAGTTTAATTTATGTAAAACTGATGAACATTGAAATAGCAAAGTGTTTTCTTGACACATCATGAATTTTATCCTATATAATGTACACATTTATGTATGTGTGTTTGTGTCTCATTATTTTATTCCTCTTAGAACCATACAGACTTTTGACTGGCACTGAGTACATCGTTGGAAGGAAAAACTGTGCTATTCTAATTGAAGATGATCAGTCAATCAGTCGAAATCATGCAGTGTTAACCGCTAATTTTGCTGTGACCAACTTGGTATGTTCCTGATTGTATTTTGCTAGCTTGCAGTGAGAGTTGAAATCAGTACATTGCCTTGATGTGAGAGAGAGAGAGCTGTTTGAGCATTTTATGCTTTTGTTTCAGTGACTTAGAAACTTGGAGAAAGTAGGTTGTATTTGTATTTGTTTACTTAACAACATTGACTGTTCCGTGGTGAGAGTTATTGGGCTTAGCTGTGATACATTCATGATGCTCGCTCTTAAAGAGAGTATGTGACTGATGGACACAAAGTCTGGGTGTGTAAAGGGAGGCTCCGCAGTGGGAATGACGGTTTTCCCGGGGAAGACAACTGTTGCTTCTGATCCACAGCTCTTTTGAATGGCTTGGAAGGTATTTGTTAGCTTTCACCAGAACCACGGGTGATGAGAGTGATAAAAATATATGAATAAATACGTTCAAAATCATCGTGGTAGGAACAAGAAAGTAAGCAGTTAGTTTGAACAAATGTGACAAATGCACAAGTGATGGATTAGTTTACTGGCATTTAGGTTTTGTGTCTATTTGTGTTGTAGAAAAGCATTATTATAGAAGTTGCAAGAGAAAAAATAAAATAAAATTATTACCAAAAGTCAGAACCTCTAGGCTTTATGCCTTGTTTTCATTCGCCCAGTATTTACCATGTGCTTTTGATAATGTAAACAAAGCAAAACGAAAACTTAGGACTGAAGCTGTCATGTTATGCATGAAGCAAACTGCTGCCAATCATAAAATTCTCAAGTGTGTGAAATGGAAGGGTTGGGAAAGTCCCAACTGATTTACAGAAATAAAGAAAAATTTGTGTTCTAAGAGTTATAATTCTGAAATTCAGAGATTTTCTTAAAGGGAGATATTTATGTTAATTGCTAATTAGTCCTTTGAAGGCAGCCAGAACAGTAGCTGTCATTCCCTGTGGTGGCAGGATATGCAGCTATTTATTATTTTACCCTTTTCAAAAGTTACCAAATGTCTCCTGTGAATCATCTCCCCCTGGATTGTATGTGCTTGAGCTGTAAAAGACTTGTAATTACTTCTCTAATTTTCAGAGTCAAACTGATGAAATCCCTGTATTGACAATCAAAGATACTTCTAAATATGGTACCTTTGTTAATGAGGCAAAAATGCAAAATCACCTTCCCCAAACTTTGAAGACAGGGGATAGAGTCACCTTTGGAGTGTTTGAAAGTAAATTCAGGTATGGATTTGTTTATTTAATTTTTGTTGTTAAAGATTTACTTTTACATGAAAGGCAGATGAACAGAGAGAAGGAGAGACTAGGAGATCCTGCCTTCACTCCCAAGTTGCCACAACAGCCAGAGGTGGGCCAATCTGAAGCCAGGAACCAGGAGCCTCTTCTGAGTCTCCCACATGGCTTAGGAGTCCCACAACTTTGGGCTGTCCTTGACTGCCTTCTCAGGCCACAAGCAGGGAGCTGGATCCACATTTGGGAAGCTGGGGTATGAACTGTTGCCCATATGGAATCCTGGTGGAAGCTTAGTGTACCAAACCAATGGCACTGGCCCCACACTTTTTAAATTAGATTAAAGTGGACAATTTTATCTCACAACAATTGAATGTTAAAGCAAAGATAAGGATTATAAGGTGACAGTATAATTGACTTCCCGTTTAGCACAGTAGTGAACTCTGTGTTGTTGGTATATTTTGTGGATCACAGGTGGGGGGTGACAGGTAAGTAAAAGTTTGTGTTAGTCCCTGTGAGTTGTGATAGGAGCCTCGTTTGTTTGATGCTTCATAAGTTAAAATGTAATGTTGATGTTGGCCATGTCTTTTTCTTCTTTGGGAACACAAGACTTAGGAGGTAAGAATTTCCTAAGTTACAAATTTATAATGTGTCAAAATTAAACGAATAATATGTTGTAAGCTTAAAGTTGTAAAGTATTGTAAAGTTGTAAAGTCTTTCTAACTGTGATAACGTAACTTTATTGTCATTCACAGGGTAGAGTATGAGCCTTTGGTTGCCTGTTCTTCTTGCTTAGATGTGTCTGGGAAAACTGCTCTAAATCAAGCTGTGTTGCAACTTGGAGGACTCACTGTGAACAGCTGGACAAAAGAATGTACTCACCTTGTCATGATGTCAGTGAAAGTCACCATGAAAGTAAGTTGAACTGTGTTCCCATATTAAAACAAGTTCTGGGACCTTGAGTGAACTCACCCACAGCACAGAGTTAGCACCATGTGTCTCTTCTGTCAGATTGTCTTCCTCCAGTCTCTGACATTGTCTCATGGTCTCATGCTCCCTCAGTTAAGTTATAATCACACAAAGATTTCTTTGCTGTATCTTTAAAGCCCTGAGATGTATGGATATGTACCTTCCAAAGATGCTGACTAGTCATTAAAGCAGTGAAGTATTTTGGTATATTTTCAGGTTTTGCATTTTCATCAGATTTGATATATCCAAAGGTAATTGAAAAATGGCATTTAAGATGTGATTCGTTAAACAGGCTGACTGTGCAAAAGATATGTGGGATTGTTTTAGACTGAAAAGCAACAAATACTTTGATTCCTGTGTTTGAAGATGCAAAAACCTTTTGTTATAATTAATTAAATATTACTGTTATATTCTGATTTATGCATAAATGGCTCTTATGTGTGTACATATATATGTATGCAATAGCTGTTAAAGAGAAAGGCTTGTTGCCCAGATTGAACCTGAAGTTAAATTTGTACCATGGTGAAGTTACCCTGAACAAAGATATTTCCATCTTGGAAAATTTAGGACATTGATTTTTTTGCTTCTGCAGCAAGACTTACTGAAAAAATACTCATGTTGATAAATTCACAGGTAATATATTCATAAAACATTTGTAAAACCAAAATATGCATGAGGACATATTTAAATGTTAGCTCAGCGTAATCCCCCTTAAGATATTAAGTTACTTAAATGGAATAGTTAATGATACATGGGTTTAGAAGGCCTGAAATAAGGTCAAAGATGCTTTGATTGTCTTGGGTTATTTTGCCAAGTCCTCAGAGCTGGACACTTCTAGCACCTGACATGCTAATGACCACCATTAGAGACACCACCATGGAGTGTGCAGTGTTTCTTCTTTGGTGTTTCTGATCACTTTTTGGTAAAATAAATAAATAAATAAATGAACCCTGATCATTAGTTTTTGCTCAGCGTTCTCAATGCATAGTTAGGCTTATAAGGTTTTGTTTTGTTTTGTTTTGCTTTTTGCTTTTGTTTTGTTTAGATTATTGAATGTTAGGACCAGAGGGAAACCTGAGGAGTATTTAGTTCAGCTTTTATATTTTGAAGAGAAATTGTGACTCAGCAGTTAAGTGCTTAGCCCAGAATCGCGCATGTTGCAGTTTTATTCAGTCCTGTGTTGATTGCATTTCACTACTTCCTGTTGGATTTGGATGATCTCATTCACGTAGGAAGTTGGGATCTGTCAGATTCCAGTCTTTAGAGATACCCTCAATCTGGTCGCTCCTAACACCTGCATTATTGAAAACATATGTATAAACTGTATAGTTGGATTATTTCCTAGAATATGCCAGCTCTTTCTTATTTTAATTGCCCACAGTAGTATTTTCTAGTCCTTTCTGAGTTTGTGGATGTGTGTTACTTGAGGCTGATAGCTTGATTCACGTTAGTTCACAGTTTCGTTCTCTCTTTATGTGTGCATCAGCTTCCACTGAGCCTAACCAGTTGCTCCTTGATTTGCTGTGTTGAAGAGGCTTTATTCTATACTCTTACTCCTTCTGAAAGCAGTAAGGCTCCAAAGAAATTTGCATTTATCTCTTAATGTGTATTGCCTCTGCAGGATGGGTTAGATTTCTTCAGCCTGAACGTGTACTTGTAATGTTTTTCCAATTGGAATACATTTTTAAAGTCTTTGTGTTATTCTGCCTATCCCAAAGGACTACTGTGTCATTGAGTAGTTCTGGTTTGTGGTATAAAACTGAGCAAATATGAAATTCTATTTTACAGATTGTGACTTCATTTATCAAATTAAGAAAAGGAAAGAAAACAATTATTAGAAAGGCATGTTTGTAGTTTATAACATGAATGTTTTCTTTAGAAGAAGCTATCATAATGACTGTATATATATATCCACATATATTTTCTTTCTTTTAGACGATTTGTGCACTCATTTGTGGATGCCCCATTGTAAAGCCAGAGTATTTTACTGAATTTCTCCAAGCAGTTCAGTCCAAGAAACAGCCTCCACAAATAGAAAGGTATATTATGTGTTTCTAATTAACAACATATGACAGAAAAGATGAGCGCATTGACTTTCGGTTAACGCTCTGGAATTCTAGATGTGATAGTTGCTATGTTCCACGTTTTTCTTGTGTGTGTATGTGTTCCATGTTAATGAGATTTTTTCAGTTAGTATGTAAAGAAAGAGTATCCCAAATTCTTAATTGGTTATTTCTTAGCTCTGTGAAACAGATGTTAACTGCTAATATATAACAAAAAACTGTTGTAGCATGGTAAATAGGTCAGCATTGCTCATGTGCCAGTGTCAGGGTCATGGGTGAGGTACCCTTGGTAGTGGGGCTGCAGCAACCCTCTTGGAGAACCACATATTTGGACCTAAATGTTGATGGCACTGGGCACTGCTTTTGTTACCTCATTTCAAAATGAGGTCAGCACTGACACAGTTTAGTAGCTCTAGATTAGTAATTCCATCTATAAAATCTGAGCACATGGCTTGCTCTCATCCTACTTGCCTGTTAAAAGAAATGTTGATTTTTGGTAATTGCAACAAAATGTGGATCATACATGACAGATTTGTGAGCCACTAGACTTGGAGATCTGTTTATGGATATTGTTAGTGATGCTTTAAAGCAGTAAGAATTAGGGTTACAAGGGAAAGTATTTGTTATTATTTATTCCAAATTGTATGATCAAAATGCTGAGCATTACAAAATGGTAAATGTCTTTAGTCAGTTACGTAGAAGAGCTTGTTTACTCAAAATGTACAAGTCAGTGAATTATAGGGTATGTGACAAAATAGATTGTATTTTTTTTCTTGGTAAGGTTTACTTAAAAGATAAGGACATCCCAGACACACACTTAGGGCTAGAGTGGCCAGAGAGAGGAAGGGTTGTAAAGAGATTTTCTGCTTTAATCTTGTTATCTTGGGTGGGGAAGAGAGAGTGCTGCTTGCCATTGACTGGCTTCTTGTGAGCCTGGAAAGAGGGGTAGTACCTAATACCACCCCAAGTCCCAGGTGAGGGGAGTGCCTCCTGAGGAAGGGGCCATCTGATTGACAAGTAGATAGACCACATTGCATAAGGTAGGGGAGCTTTGGCTTCCAGTTGGTGATGCTAAGCTTGCTACTTATGTGTCCTGTTTCACTCTCCCACTAAGAGATTTCCAACCCCTTTTCTTAAGGGCTGCTGGAGGATATACATTTGTCTCATCTTCTGTAGCTGCTTCTTACTGATTAGGTGTGAAGGTTCAGAAAGCTCTCTGCATCTCACCTAATGGCTACATCTCAGGAGCCATAGAAAACTTAGCTGATTCTGCTGGCTGTGTCCATAGATTACTGTCACTAACTCTGAGAAGTTTCTGGCCTTTTTTGTCTTTGAGGTGGCATCTGAGGACCTCAGCTGGTTTGTAAGAGCAGGCTGACTCATTCGAGTGCACCTGGACATGCTCTACTCCTCTGCACTGGAGTCAGCGCAGGCAGCACAGCATGCACTGTATGTTTCAGCGCTAAAACACACAGCCCACTCTGTGCTCCCTGAGATTGGGGATCCTGCCTTGTCTGGGACCAATCAGTCCCGAAAGCCTGGGGTTCTTGGTGACACCAAAGGCTGTTTCTGTGGATCACGCCACGTTTACTGCCATCGGTGTGACTGCCTGGGACCTGCTAGACCCCTAACCTGCTGCACAAAAGCCATCAGTGCAGCCAGATTGTACGATTACAAGCTTACATTGATTCTATAGAATGACTGATTATTTAAAATGGCCTTAAGTTTAGGAGTGTTAAGGAAGTTAAGAATTTCAAAAGTATTTTTTATCAGCATGTTGTAGTGTTACTAATGTTTTTATTTTGTAAGGATTTTTTTTTTCTTATTGGAAAGACAGATCAGGTTTATGGCGAGAGAAAAAGACAGAGACAAAGATCTTCCATCCGCTGGTTCACTTCCCAAATGGCTGCAACAGCCAAAACTGAGCTGATCTGAAACCAGGAGCCAGGAGCTTCTTCTGGGTCTCCCAGATGGGCACAGGATCCCAAGGTTTTGGGCCTTCCTCTGCTGATTTCCCAGGCCATAAGCATGGAGCTGGATGGGAAGTGGAACGGCTGGAACACAAATCAGCATCCATGTGGGATGCCAGTGCTTACAGGACAAAGATTTAATCTCTGAGCCATTGTGCCGGGCCCACTCATTTTATTGTTAGAGCAGTAACAAAGTGGTTCGTGTTCATAAGCATGTCTTATTGCATACATATGTATGAGCTATGTTTTTATAGGACTGACAGATATAGATTTGTTAATATCAGCATCACCATAAACACATGGTTATGTGTTATGCTACATCACGATGGGTATGAAGTTCTGGGTAGTAGTGGTAGTTTGTGATTTTTGTCCTTTTACTTCCAAAAATTTATTTATTTTATTGGAAAGGCAGATTTATAGAGAGTAGGACAGAGAGAAAGATTTTCATTCCACTGGTTCAATGTCCAGGAGGCCACAATGGCCAGAGTTGAGTCGATCTGAAGCCAGGAGCCAGAAGCTTCTTCCAAGTCTCCAGTGTGGGTGCAGGTCCCAAGATGTTGGGCAATCCTCCAAGGCTTGTGCAGGCCACAGGCAGGGAGCTGGATGGGATGTGGAGCAGCCAGGACACAAACTGGCAATCAAATGGGATCCCAGGGCATGCACCGCAAGGATTTAGCCATATGGGATCCCAGTGCTTTCAAGGCAAGGATTTAACCACTGAGCCATTGTGCCGGGCCTCCACATCCTCTTTTGATGTCACCTTCAGCCTGATACACATCCTTTGAGGTCCTGAGTGTGGACATGATCACCAGGGGAAATGCAGAAGTAGGCAGGTGACAGAACCTTAGAGAGCCACTGTCAGCAGGCTTCTGTGGACGTTGTCTGAGATACTGAGTCTCCTTTGTCGTTTTCTCTTTGCTTTTCTGCTGGCCCCATCCACGTGGCCTTTCATTTTCTGCCCTGGTGGCCCAATGTGGTGCTGACCTCCTCCAGAGTGGCCAGAAGAGGATCAGGGTAAAGCATACACACAGAGGCGGCACAACAGCCTAGAATCACTGCCCATGTTACCTTGTGGATATTTGAAGATCTGGCCAAAGACTATCCAGTGCTGGTGACCTTGAAGGGAAAAGAGAGAAAGTAGGGAGGGAGAAAAGTAAAGAAGGAAGACAGGCAGGCAGGCAGTAGTAGGTTTTTTTTTTTAATATTTATTTTTATCTTGGGCCAGGTGTGGTGGTCTAGCAGCTTAAGTTCTCGCCTTGCAAACGCTGGGATCCCATATAGGTGCTGATTCTAATCCTGTCAGCCCTGCTTCTTATCCAGCTCCTTGCTTATGGCCTGGGAAATAGTGGAGGATGGCCCAAAGTCTCAGGATCCTGCACCCACGTGGGAGACCTGGAGGAAGTTCCTGGGTCCAAGCTTTGGATCGGCTTAGCTTCAGCCGGTGCAGTCTCTTAGGGAGTGAATTATCAGATGGAAGATCTTCCTCTCTGTTTCTCCTCCTGCTCTGTATATCTGACTTTGCAATAAAGATGAAATAAATCTTTACATCATGCATATGGCATAGGTTGGGGGCAGACCAGGCTGAACCCATTCACATCAACCGCTGGCGAATCTGAGCACCAGCATAGAGTGTGGGTCAGGCCAGTTTCGGTCACAACACATACCAGTGCACATTAAGGAATGCCAGTGTGAGGTGAGCCATACCAGATATGGTTGCAGTGCCCAAATAGCACACTTGAGAACCGGGGTGGGGCGGGGGGAAGGGGAGAGGAGGCAAAGCCTTAGGGGAGTGTGGGCTCCCCTGCTGGACAACCACTCCCACTGGAGAGCATGAGTTGGGATGGGGG